CACATCCCCTACCCCCCCTCTGAAACCTCCTGTTCCATCCACAATCCTTCATTCTGTCTTACCTCTAATTCTTTCAATTAACCCTAGCCATACCTTTTCCCTGGTATACCTCATAAACTTATTCCCTCTAGTAATTATTACAGTCTCTTTTGTCCCCTAAATCCTTTATAAAGACTATACATGCCTCTCCCCCCCTCCTCTCCGCTCCGCCCAATCCCCCCAGGTCCTTCCCCTCCTTTCCATACATTGTTTATTAAACAAAAAAAGTACCAACCCTCCAACACTATACCCCCCTGCTTTTAACATTTCTGTCATTAATCCCATCAGTTTCTAGCTCTTTAAAACCCCCTTTTCATTCGAACGTAATTGCCCCGAACCTCCCCCACACTTACATCTGCTCTTCTTCACTCCTAAAAGATGGTAACCTCCCTACCAGGTGCATGAAATTACTGCCTCTTCTCTTTCATTCCTTAACTTTAAAAGTTCCTCAAAATATATCTCGCCATTCTATCTAATAACCTCCATTCTATTTGTTCACCCCCATCTACTAACTCCCCTACTCTGTTTTTAAACTGACAATCCATACTTTTCCCCTAGGTTTTCTTAACTTGTTTAACTCACCGTCCAAAAGTTTATCCTTATTTTCATTAAAATTTTCTTGACAGTGCCATCTCCCACTCTATCATCTGCTCTCCTTTGCACCTCTCACCACTCTCTTTGCCTTCTTTTACTCTCCTAATACTCAGCTCTTCTTATAACACTTCTGCTGTTTGAAAAACCCTCTCATAAGCTAACCGGTATTCCTCTTTTATTCACACCCTTTACTTCATCATTCCACCAGATCACTCCTCTTTCCTCCTGCCCCCAAGCCCTCCAATAACCACAAACTTCTGCCGCCACGCTTCTAATACGCATTTTAAAACTATCCATAAATAAATAAATAATAGAAATAAATAATAAAATACTAATAATTATTAGTAATAATAGGCAATAGACAACCCATACCATACTCTATTTATAAGGCATTTAGCTTTCCTAGTACAAGCTTCCTATACAAGCAAGTCAGATTCTCTTGATCCAAGGAAATGGAGATACTGACAAATGAACTCACATCATGATTAAGTAAACAAGCTTGAAAATAATCTAATCTCCTAATACGGTGGGTTACCCTCGAATTTTGGCCATAATTCGTCCCAGAAGGCTGTTCGAGGCTGTAGCCAACAAATTTTAGCTTCCATAAGGAATAAGTTAAATTAGTTTTTAACCCGTTTCAGACCCCAAAAATACACTTATTACAAAAGCCCTTTACAAATATAACTCTTACAATAATTGTTTCGGAAGTATGGGAGCCTGTTACGAAATTTCGAGGTACCCACTGTTTTTGAGCCTTTTGTCAAAGGAACATAATTTTTCTATGATTTAAAAAGGTTAAAGCAGAGGAAGTTTTAAGACATTAATACAACAAGAAACTTTTATACATCAATAAATAAATAATACGCCTACCATTCCACTATACGACCTGCTCAACTTACAACCACACGACTTACACCAAGTATTTACATGCCCAAATTTCAGGGAAATAAACAACATTTGTGTTGTACCCAGTGAGATATCATAAACCAAACCGTATAAAAATACAATACTAAACAGCAAAAAACGTAAAGGTTAAAAATACAATACACAATAAAACAATAAAAAAGTCCATTACAAAATGTTTTGTTTGATATACAGTAGTAAGTTCGACTTACGACCATTTCGCTTACGACGCGGTTTACTCGGACCGAACTCGGTCCGTAAGTCGGATGGTAGGTGAACTACATTGTTTCGTAGTAAATAACAGTAGAATAACTGATGAAAGTTAAGTCCAAACACACACAAGTGCAACTTGCAAGCTCGCTATTGACTTGACAAAGTTCCTGGGAGCGAAACTTTTGTCACAATAACAATGTCACATTAGTTGCAACTATCGTGGTCCATTTACTGACACATTTATTTGTATTTTCCTTGCAAAGGCAGATAAATGTTACTGAAACATACAAAAACCAAAATTCCAAAGATATTTTAAAGAATTTTTGTCATGGGGCTTAGAGTCAGATGGAGTACACCTACCATCCGCCTTACACGACCGAGTTCGGATTTCCGAGAAACCGGTCCTGTAAGATGAAATGGTTGTAAGTCCGAACATTTAAACTAAGAATATCTACAAAACATTATTTGAAATGACTATTTTTATTTGTATTATTTTGGTATTTCATTTTTTATACTTTACTTTTTTATGTTGTTAATACGTATTTTATACTGTAAGGTATAAGGATAAACACTGTGTACAACGACAATACTTTTTTTATTTCCCAGAAATTTGGCATAAAATACATGGTCGTAGTCGATGGTCCGTAAGTTAGCATGTCAATAAGTTTGAGCAGGTCGGTAAGTCGATGGTAGGTTGTATATAATAGTGGTAGTGAGGTGTGAGTGATGCATGGTGACCTGAAGAATGCCATATTGGGATGAGGACAGGTAGACGATGTGATCACGCGAGTCCTGTGTTGATCAAGGTACTAGTGTTCTCTCACGTGTCTTTCAAAACCAGGTTTAAGGCTGCCCGAAGTTATAATGCAGCCTCTCCTCACTTAATGACAGAGTTCTGTTTCCTGAAACCTCGTCCAGTAAACAAATACTACCCCCCGTGGCTAATGTAGGAGCATACTATAATGGTAGTGGGTTTGTGTCAACCATCTTTGATAATGTTTTAATATCACCTTTGCACCATTTATAACATTTCTGGAATCGTTTTAAATGTTTATACAGTCACTAGCACGTTAAGAGACCATACAATAAGTGTCAGGGGCCCGAGACTGTTTTCAAACTGCCCCCACACACATAAGGGGATTACCAACAACAGACCCCCTGCAGTCTTCAATGCTGGCACAGTACAAGCACCTATAAGTCAGTTCCTTAATCACCGGGCTGTGGCTCGTACGTTGGTTTGCGTGCAGCCAGCAGCAACAGCCTGGTTGATCAGGCGCTGATCCACCAGGAGGCCTGGTCACAGACCGGGCCGCGGGGCAAAGACCCCCGAAACTCTCCTCCAGGTCTCCAGTAGTGGTAACTGTAAATTGTAATATACACAGAAATCAGAGGGAAATCAGCTCTAATAATGATTATTTAGATATGGCGAACTGTTAAAGAGCCCGCCATAAGTCCTAGTCGTCGAAACAGTATGCGCTAAGTGAGGAGAGGCTGTTTATAATATCTTTATTTCTATAAGTACATGTACAAGGCATATTGACCATAGCTGACATAAGTGACGTACTACTGTATAGAAAGCCGCTTGTTATGCAAAGCATTACCTGTTGAAATTAGGTCAAGATTTTTGTCCCAGATGCGACCCGCCACACCATCCACTAACAACCAGGTACTCCATTGATTATAATGATGGATAACATGGACAAAACTCGGTGTCCTTATGAAACACCACCAATCCTTTTTTTTTTTCCAGCCACACTGGGGATCAATCCCCAAACCTCAGTGAGCTGAGTGTGCCAGTGACTGAACTACAGACACAGGTACATAAGTACAATTATCATACATAGTGTAAATTACCTAGGTCTTTCTATAAAGTATTTTATAGAAATACTGTACAGTGCACCATTTTATAGAAATGAAGTTATAAGTCTGTTTCATGATTAATCCCAGTAAAATTTATATATGTACCTCTCAAAAATTTATATATGTACCTCTCTCAAAAATTTATGTATGTACCTCTCAAAAATTTATATATGTACCTCTCTCAAAATTATAATGTACCTCTCTCAAATTTAATATGTACCTCTCTCAAAAATTTATATATGTACCTCTCTCAAAAATTTATATATGTACCTCTCTCAAAAATTTATATATGTACCTCTCTCAAAAATTTATATATGTACCTCTCTCAAAAATGTTCAAGCAGTACTGTCCAGCAACAATATTGATTTTCAGTTTTTTTTGTATATTAATGTTTGTTCCACTTTGTATATTTATCTCATTATATTCAACCTTATAACACAGAGCAAAAAAATAAAAGGCACAATACCGTGACTGGAACAATACACAAATAACTTGCACACAGCGGAAAGGTAAGATTAAGACACAGCTGCAGCAGTAAAGGATTAAGGATCTGGGATTAAGGATTTCATTTCTTTGCATAGTTTACTATGTGTAATTACAATTTTGATTTGCTAAGTACAGTGGACCCCCGCATAACGATCACCTCCGAATGCGACCAATTATGTAAGTGTATTTATGTAAGTGCGTTTGTACGTGTATGTTTGGGGGTCTGAAATGGACTAATCTACTTCACAATATTCCTTATGGGAACAAATTCGGTCAGTACTGGCACCTGAACATACTTCTGGATTGAAAAAATATCGTTAACCGGGGGTCCACTGTACAAAGAAAGACACTATCAAGCTGGCACATTTTGGGCAGACTAAACCTAATACATATACTTAACAGATTACTTAATACTAGGCATATATAACATAGTTGGTTTGAAATGAATATAATTTTTTATATTTCAATATAGTTAGTGGTTTAGCAGTGACTGAATTTATAATTGAAATGAACTGATTAACAGGTTACATTATTAGCCGGAGATGTTTTGCCAACACAGTAGGCTTCTTCAGTCAAATACAGGATGCAGCAGAAATGAAAAAAAGATGATGTAATCAGTCCATCAATCTTGGAGAAAAAGTGTTTGAGGTGGTCAGTCCCTCAGCCTGGAGAAGAGTTCAGTTCCATGGTCTGGAATGATACGAGAGACAGAAACTTATGATATTTCGGTCTAACATGGACCAATAACTAATCACATGAATGTGTGGCTAGTTAATGATCCACATCAGACTGAAATGTCATCATAGTCTTCTTTCTCCTATGTGTGGATTGTGTATTATAACCTAGCAAATAACCCTGAAAACACCTATGAGGAAATGAATCAACGAGAACCCAGTGTGGCATACCTGGTGTAAATAGGCTTCCCCGATTCGCTCAAAATAAATACATGCTTCTCCTTCTGTAGCCAATCAGTGCTCTGCAAATACTCTTCATCAATATTTTCTTCCTCACCATCTTCATCTGGGCCCAAATCTTGCATAGTATCTTCTGGCTCTGCTTTCTCACCATAGTCTGCTACTGCCATATTTCCCACTCCTTCCACAAGCTCCTTTACCTAGTTGCAAGTTAATGTTACTAGAGGATATATAAGAAAGGAAGAACATTACAGCAGGCCTACTGGTCCAAACTAGGCAGGTCCTTCTCAAACCCTAACCCACTAAAAAAAATATTTGCCCAACCCATTTTCAATATTACCCAAAGAATAAGCTTTGATAATAAATACTATTAACTTATGTGCAAGTCCCACTTAAATCCAACCCCTCTCACTCATGTATTTTCTAACGTACATCAGAGACTAACCTAATTAGGTAGACTGTTCCATTCATCCACTATTAGGTAGAATGTTCCCCTCATCCACTACTAGGTACAATGTTCCACTCATCCACTACTAGGTACAATGTTCCACTCATCCACTACTGGGTAGAATGTTCCACTCATCCATTACTAGATAGACTGTTCCACTCATCCATTACTGGGTAGACTGTTCCACTCATCCACTACTAGGTAAAAGTGTTCCACCCCATCCACAACTAGGTAGACTTTCCACTCACCCCTAAAATTTAAAAAAAACTAATCCTAATTTGCTTAACAACAAAACCTAAGGCAAAAAAAACAAACCCCAAAATGAACTTAAAAACAAAACCAACCCAAATCCCAAAAAAAATTTAAATTCCTAACCCCTTAAAGACAAATTAAAAATCAAATCAAATCATACCCAAATTTTTATTTTTCTTAAGGATTACAATGCAGGGTTTACAGTTTTTTGGTTATTGTGTGGTTTACATGTAAAAAATACTAATTCGAGGGTGCCACTAAACCCTACCCGGGCTAGGATTTCGAAAAAACCCCTTTGATTAATTTTTAAACCCATAAATTTTTAAAATTTGTGGGGGGGGGGTTTTAAAGGAGTTTGACTAAATACTAATGACTAAATACAATTTTTGAGAGTTTAGAAAGGGTGAATGCTTTTTTTTGGGCACAATACATATTTTTCTAATTGGAGAAATCACAGGAAAACCTTGTGACAATTGGGAAATTTTAATAAAAATTGGGAAACCATAGAAATAAGTAGGATTTTTTTTTGTAAAAAAACAATTAAATGTACAATAAAAAAGGGTTTCCTAATAAACAAGGGAAACCGTGGGGGGATCCCTTTTCCAAGAACCCCATGAATACCAAAAACCCGGGTGGAAAGTAGCAAACACGGTAAGACGTTTTTTCGTTTACATAAAAAAGCAAAGAAAAAAGAAAAAATTTAAAATTTACACACAAATAGTGGAGAATTCCCATTTTTTCACTAATGGGGAAGCAATAAGGGTGATTTTAAGGCCACAGCAAACTGGGGATAACAAAAACCCCGAAAAACCGAATCTTTGGATACGGGGGTTCTACTTTTATAATTTATTAAAACAATCCATTTAAAGGGACTTTTTTTAAAACTGGGAAATTTTTAAATTTTAAACAAGTATACATAAGAGGTTTTTCAAAGGGGTACACTCCCCCCCCCCCCAGGGCCCCAAAAGTTAACCCGTAAACGGAACAAAGTATAAAATACTTTTTTTTACCGCTAGTCCCCCAAAAAGTAAAACAATAACTTTTATTTTCCCCTACTTTTAAACATTCCCAAACGAAACCTGAGCCCACCTAGACATATGAAAAAGGGGTTTGTGAGCACTCACTGTGCACTATTTTAAAAAAAATTTGGGGGATGCCTGGGTCCCATATCCCTTTTTTTTTTCTTTTAAAAAAAAAACAATTTTTTTTTTCCAAAAAATTTGGGGGCAGTACGGTAGTAAAAACAAAAATAAACCATTGGACCGTTTTAGGGTTAAGGGATAAATAAAAAATTTTATTTTAAAAGGGGGGGATGGGGGGGCAAGTGGCAGATTTTTGCAGGTTTGGTGTGGGAGAAAGGTTCCCGGGAAAGCAGTAAAGAGTTTTTTACGGGGATAGGGGGCTCAAGTTAAGTATGTAGGAAAGAGGGAAATTATTTTCCCCAGTAAAAGTAGGCCTTAGCCCCAAGGAGTGTGATGTAAACCGGGTTTTTTTAAATATTTATAAAAGGGGGGTTTGTAAGAAAAAGTAAATCGGGGGTCTTGGGCAAGAGGCGTGGTTTTAAAAGAAAAGAATCACACATAAAGGGGATTTGCCCACATTTTCCCTTTTTGCTAATGACACTGTGCTTTTTGGGAGATTCTAAAAGAGAATTTTTGCAGAAAACGGGTGGAAAAATTTTGGGTAGGGTGTGCAAAAGAAGAAAATTAAAATTTGAATAAAAAAAAAGGGGAGAAGGGTTTTATGAGGATAAAAAAAAAGATTATTTGATGAAAAAAATTGGATATCAATTGGAGGGAAGATATGGAGGAGGTGAATGTATTCAAATATTTGGGAGTGAGACGGGGCAGGGTGGGTCTAAGAAAGATGAGGTGGGAAACAAAAAGAATTGATGAGGGGGAAAAAGGGAATTGGGTTTACTTTTGGATCTGTGGAACAAAGAACTTTGTCCTTGGAGGCAAAGAGGGAAATTTTAAAGAAAAGTATAATTTTTTTCCAACCTCTTAAAATGGGTGTGAAGCATGGGTTGGGGAAATTTTTCGGGGAGGAGAAGGCTGGAGGCAGTGGGGATGTCAGTCTGAGGGCAATGTGTTGGGGGAATATAATGGGAGAAATTCAAAGTTTGGAAATTAAAAGGGGGGGTGCAGGATTACCAAAACAGGTTTCCAGAGGGGTGAGGAAGGGTTGTTTAGGTGTTTCAGACAAGTAAAGAGAATGGAGCAAAAAAGTTACTTCAAGAGGTATCAGTCCCGTAGGGAAAAAGGGAAAGGGGGAAAGGGGGGGCCTAGGGAAAAGGGGGAGGGAGGGGGGAAAAGAGGTTTTGATTGCGGGGGGGCTTAGAAATTCCCGCAGGCATGCTGAGCGTAATTTTATTTGGAGTGAATGGAGAAAAAATGGTTTTTTAAAACTTTTTACGGCTTTTTTAGTGTGACAAAGAAAAATTTATGAAAAGGGGGGGGCAGGGAAAAAGGGAGGGGGGGGGACTTGAGTCCTGGAGATGGGAAGTACAGTCCTGCACTCTGAAGGAGGGGGGTTAATGTTGCAGTTTTTAAAAAATGTATGTTTAAAACACCCTTTTTGGCAAAACAGTGATGGGTGAATGATGGTGGGAAAAATTTTTTCTTTTTTGGGGCCCCCCGCCCAGGTGGGAATCGGCCCTGTGATAAAAAAAAAAAATATAAGTTTACTGGGGTACAGAAAAAACCCTAAATACAATTAATTTTTATACATAGGTAAATTAAAACCCCCCCCCCCCAGAAAACAAGTGTTGGACAATGTGAATTTTTTTTCATTTGGGTTATCCAGGGGGTTTTCCGGCTTACTAACCTCTCCTATGGTTTATCCTTTTTACTAGATAATTTTTTTTCATTGGGTTAACCAGGGTTTTTCCTGGCTTCCCAACCCCCTCCTATTTTTATCCTTTTTTTACCAAATGGGTTTTAAAATTTTTATTGGATTATCCGGTTATCCTGGGTTTACTAAACCCTCCTATTACCTGGAGTTTACCTGGAGAAGTTTTCCCGGGGGTTTAACGCCCCCCGGCCCGGGCCCTTTACGGGCCCCCGGTGGATCAGACCTATCAACCCCGGGTGTTGCTGCTGGCTGCCACGCAAAACCAATTTTCAGCCACAGCCCGGCTTTATCAGGAACCCGACTTTAAGGGGGCTTGTCCAGTGCCACTTGAAGACTGCCCGGGGGCTGTTTTTTAAAAAACCCCCTTTTGTGGGGCTGGAGGGCAGTTGAACAGTCCCCGGGGCCCCGACCTAATTTTTAGGTTTACCTTTTGGGACTAAATAAGTATATTTAGGTACAGGTACACATAAAATACAATTATTATACAAAAGTGTAAATTACCCTGGAAAAAATTTAAAAAAAAAGGGAAAAAGAATTTTTGCCCCGGGATCCAAAATTTTTAAATTTCACTTTCAAATTGAATTTAATAAAATTTTTTTTAAAATTTTGTTTTAAATGACTGAACACAAAAAGGAATATTTTTCTGCTGGCGACTTTTTCAATCTAATAAACTAGCTAAAAAACAACTAAATTTAAAATGACTTGAAAACTAGCTTGGGCTTGAAAAATCTTTTTCCCTTTTTGGTTTTTAAACATCCACGTTTCTCTTTCCCCCTAAAAAACTGTCATTTTAAAGAATGTAAGGAGGAACACTGCAGAAGGCCTACTGGCTCATACTAGGCAGGTCCTTCTCAAATCCCCTAACAAATATATTCACTCAACCCATTATCAATGCTTCCCATTTATCATACCTGCATTTGCCTATATGTAGTTGCAGGTGTCGAGTCATAGCTCCTGGCTCTGCCTCTTCACTGAAGACATTGTAAACTTAAATCTAGAGTGCAAACAATTGTTTGCTGTCTAAATTACATTGTTTGCACTCTACATTAAAATTCTTTATCACCACAACCCTCATATAATAATTTAAGTGTTTCGTAAAACTGATATGTGCAATTAATGCAACATTTTATATAGTCATACCTGGTTAATATGGCCATAAAGCAAATACAGTGGACCCCTGGTTAACGATATTTTTTCATTCCAGAAGTATGTTCAGGTGCCAGTACTGACCGAATTTGTTCCCATAAGGAATATTGTGAAGTAGATTAGTCCATTTCAGACCCCAAACATACACATACAAACGCACTTACATAAATACACTTACATAATTGGTCACATTGGGAGATGATCGTTAAGCGGGGGTCCACTGTATTGATGTAAAATGAATCGCAGCATTTTTTTTTCACTTGGCAGTGCGTATAAAAGCCAAAAAACAAGTTCACACTATCATTTATTAAGTGTATAATAACACAAGACCTAAACAACGATGCAAAAGCAAAAATAATAAATAAAAAAAATCGAAAATTTTCAAAAATCATCTTAAGAGCGAGGCAAGCATCGAAAATAATAAACATAAATAAAACTGAAAAACGACTTATTAGCGCCATATTAACAAGAAACGACTGTAGTTCAAAAAACGTCTTTTACCTGACAGAGTTGATAATTCTACCAACATTATTACAATAATTAAGTGAACCAGATGTCACACATTATTATTACAATCAAATTAAGCACTAAACCCACAAGGTTATAAATTAAATAAATTATTATTACAATCAAACCTACATGGTAAACCCACAAGAGTACAAAATAAAAATATTATTATTACAATCGAAACTATGTGCTAAACCCACAAGGGTATAGGAAAAATACATGTGAAATTATTTTAACAGTAGCGACCCTATGGGGTTATTCAAAGTAATTTACATGTTAATATGCATAATAATGAATTAAAATTTACATGGGTGTGTACGTAAATATTATTATCATCATAATCATAACCAAGCGCTAAACCCGTAAGAGTATGTAAATAAAATTACTTGTCTAGGGTACTGAACCTCCATTATGACCCAAGGAAGCTAAGTCACTGGAGTTCTTGCTCACGTGACCCAGACAAACCCACTGGCTTACCACTTGGGAAAAAATGTGCAAACACTACTTAAATAAGTGGTAAAATACCTGCATTTGTTGTGTTATGGGTGAGGGGGGCGGGGGCGAGGGGTGGCCGGGTGCGGCGCCCCCCGTGGTGGTAGTAGTGTCTAGTTCATGGTTACACTCCTCGAAGCTGTCAGTGTTGACCAGCATGACCTCTCCACTGACCCCTGGGGTGTCATCCTTCAGTACTTCACCAGCACTAACAACATCATCCACCAGCTGATCCATCACAGCAGCAGCCATCTTGACTCATCAACATTACTGGACCAACTTTACCATCTCTTATTTAACATTAATCACCAACAAATAAACCACAAAACAATGAAAACCAACAAATTTTTACATTTACAACTCCTTAATAGGCCAAACATAAATTCTTCCCATAATAAGTAAATAAAGCCATGAATATCTTTAGACCTTAAAAATATGATAATATTATAGAAATGTTTACTATCAATTATCTCAACATCTTTACTCAATAGTTACTGGAAACTAACCGGGAAACCTCATATTTAAAATGCCATCCAAAATTTTTCAAAACCCATCAAAAACCAAAAGTAGAAACAATTTAAACCATTCTTAAACAATGCGTATAAAAATAACTTCGATAATAAGCTAAATCAAGCCATGTTATTTGGTTAAAATCAACTCAAAATTGTTAAAAATATTTAGGATGTAATATGATACAGGTACTTAACTTACATATTTAATTCAATAATTAAAAAAAACAAGTATTTAAGTAAAATAAGTTAGTGACTGGCTCTTATTTAGCCACTTTTCTAGTACATAGATTTATGGAATAAATAGATAAGCTAGGTATAAATGGCCCTATGGGTATTCATTAAACCTCTCTATCCAAGGAGGTAAAATAAATTTGTTATATTAATGAAACTCAGTGCTAAACCCACAGATGTTATATCTCAGTGAATTACTGATGTAAACTCAGTGTTTTAAGAGTTATACTCAGTATTTACACTGTTAAATCTCAAGTTATATACACTGAGAGGTGTAATATTATATTACACTGAGAGGTATATCCAGGTATATACATGAGAGGTAATATACTTCAGTGTATAACACTGAGGGTATATCCAGTGTAATACACTGGAGGTTTTACAGTGTATAACCCGAGAGCTGTTATCTCATGTAAACAAAGAGGTGTATTATCAGTGGATATATACTGAGGGTTTATCAGTAGGGGGGGGACTGAGAGGTGATTATCGTGCTCATACAGTGAGAGGTGTATATTCAGTATTAACACTGAGAGGTGTATTCCAGTGTATATCACTGGGAGGTGTAATCTGTGTATATACACTGGGGGAGTATATCTCAGCTATACACTGAGAGGTGTAATCTCAGATTATACAATGAGCGGTATGACCAACTCAGTTTATACCTGAGGTTAATCTCACAAGTATAATACACTGAAGAGGTGTAAAATTTCAGTTACTACTCACTGTTTAATAATCCAGTTATATACACCTCAATAATCAGTGTAATATACACGATTTATATCTTAGTGTTAATACATTGAAGAGTTATACTATGTTGTATTACAGAGGTTATCTCATTTTTAACTGAGAGGTTAGAATCTCATGTAATCATGAGGTTAACTCTTTATATAACAAGAAGTATATAAAAAGTGAAATTTAACCCCTAAAATGTTAAAATATTCGAAGAGGTAAATAATCCATATATATCACTGGATGGTGTAATACTCAGTGTTATATACACGGAGTGTATATTCGTTTATATACATGGGAGGTTACAGTGCTCATACCTGAGAGTGTTAAAACTCAGTTATAACAAGGTGGTGTATATCTAGGTATTATCATAGAGGTTTATCTCGTGTTTATTACACTGAGGGGTGAATTCAGTGATAATCACTGAGAGGTGTATATCTGGTATATACACTTGAGGGTTATCATCGGTGTAATACACTGAGAGGTGTATATTCATGTATATACACTGAGAGGTGTATATCTCAGTGTAATACACTAGAGGTGTATATCTCAGTGTATATACACTGAGAGGTGTATATATCAGTGTATATACACTGGAGGTGTATTACTCAGTGTATATACACTGAGAGGTGTATATATCAGTATATATACACGAGGGTTTATATCAGTGTATATAACTGAGAGGTTTATATCAGTGTATAACATGGTAGTTTATATATTAATCACGTTTTTACAGGTATTAAAATTTCTTGACTGATAATCTGGTGTAGTAGGATAGACTTTAAAATATCTTCATTAATCAGTCTTTATCACAGAAACTGGTAACTCTTCATTTTATCGAACATTTTCCCCATTTCCCTGAGACGTGTTGACCCCTATGGGTTCCTGCATCTTCCCTTATAGTTGCAATTTCCTTTGTGCTGTACATCATTCTCATATCATTTTATATCACTTATCGACACCATATGTCCATTAGATATTATTATTATTTTGGGAAGCACTAAACCTGTAGGGATTATATCTTATCTTATATAGTGCCTGTGGGTTTTCTTGAAAGCTCGTACGGGTGGTCCTCGACTTACGATGGGGTTATGTGGGCTGGTGGCTATAACTCTGGCTTCACACGATGAGTGTCCAGGTTCGATTCCTGGCAAAGGTAGAAACATTGAACGTGTTTCCTCACCTGAGTGTTAGTGGACTGGTGTGAGTCATCCTGGGTGTTAGTGGACTGGTGTGAGTCATCCTGGGTGTTAGTGGACTGGTGTGAGTCATCCTGGGTGTTAGTGGACTGGTGTGGTCATCTGGTGTTAGTGGGTGTGGCATCCTGGGTGTTAGTGGACTGGTGTGGGTCATCCTGGGTGTTAGTGGACTGGTGTGGGTCACATCCTGGGTGTTAGTGGACTGGTGTGGGTCACATCCTGGGTGTTAGTGGACAGGTGTGGGTGGCATCCTGGGTGTTAGTGGACTGGTGTGGGTCACATCCTGGGTGTTAGTGGACTGGTGTGGGTACATCCTGGGTGTTAGTGGACTGGTGTGGGTGGCATCCTGGGTGTTAGTGGACTGGTGTGGGTCACATCCTGGGTGTTAGTGGACTGGTGTGGGTGGAATCCTGGGTGTTAGTGGACTAGGTGTGGGTGACATCCTGGGTGTTAGTGGACAGGTGTGGGTGGCATCCTGGGTGTTAGTGGACTGGTGTGGGTCATCCTGGGTGTTAGTGGACTGGTGTGTGGTCAGCATCCTGGTTGTTAGTGGACTGGTGTGGGTCATCCTGGGTGTTAGTAGACTGGTGTAGGTCACATCCTGGGTGTTAGTGGACTTGTGTGGGTCACATCCTGGGTGTTAGTGAGACTGGTGTGAGTCACATCCTGGGTGTTAGTGGACTGGTGTGGGTCATCCTGGGTGTTTAGTGACTGGTGTAGGTACATCCTGGGTGTTAGTGGACTGGTGTGGGTCAATCCTGGGTGTTAGTGACTGGTGTGGGTCACATCCTGGGTGTTAGTGGACTGGTGTGGTGCATCCTGGGTGTTAGTGGACTGGTGTGGGTGGCACATCCTGGTGTTAGTGGACTGGTGTGGGTGACATCCTGGGTGTTAGTGGACTGGTGTGGGTCACATCCTGGGTGTTAGTGGACTGGTGTGGGTCACATCCTGGGTGTTAGTGGACTGGTGTGAGTCACATCCTGGTGTTAGTGGACTGGTGTGGGTTACATCCTGGGTGTAAATAGACTTGAGTCACATATTTGTTGTGGATGTTTCACATAAAACAGTGACTTTATGATGTAGATGTCACATTGTGTAGTGATGGTTGTATAAGTTTGGTGTTATGGACTGGTAGTACATATAAATATTATGTATGTTTAATCCTGTAGTTATGGACTGTTGTTATTTGGGTGTTAGTAAGGACCCTCTAAGTCAACAATCCCTAGTCGAAAATATTGTAAGTCTACATCATATGTACGTGACTGAGTTGGGTAACTGGTAGTTATACTGTATGAGTAATCCTGGTGTCAGTGGAATAAGATTGTAATCTTATAATGACTGTATGCCATAATTGTTTAATGGACTGGTGGTCAATCCTAAGTGTAGGGACTGTGGTCCATCCTGGTTTAGGGATAGTTTGAGCAACTCCTGGACCCAAATGCATTATGGATATGTTCGCTACAAGTGACTTCTATAATACTCTGTCACGATGTCAGCTGGTGATATAACTGTTTGATCAGTTGTAAACTTAATTTTTTTTTTATTATAGCAGTCTTCAGGATTATTATTCTTTTAACAGACCCTCGTCAAAACCCTTGAAAATTTAACGCTAAAATTACGTATTGCTATTATGAATAAATGATCACTCTGGTGCATGAATAAGCCATTCGCATAATTACTGTAAGGTGAGGGCCATTGGGAACAACCCGCTATACAGAGGGCCTGTAAACCCTTGCTTCAATGCAGGGCTGGAACAACCTCCCATATTACATCGAGGGCTAGGCTATACATCTGCCAGTCTGAAATATTACGTGTTTGACCGGGTAACTTAACTTGTTTTTCTAATGGCGAGCCAGGGACTTAACCATCCACTGACTACTCACATAGTATTTTATAATAAAACAGGGCCTTGGGTGAACACCCTCGCTTCACATGGCGAGGGCCTGGGCTAACACCCTCGCTTCACACGGCGAGGGCCTGGGCTAACACCCTTGCTTCACATGGCGAGGGCCTGGGTTCGATTCACATAGGGCCGAGTAAACCATTGGGAGCCTGGTAACCTTGCTTTCACCTGTGCACTGGGTCACCCATCGTTCAATGGGGGACCTGGGTAACACCCTCGCTTTATGGGATGGTGTGGGTGAATCCTGACCACATGAGGCCGGGTACACTGCTCATGGCGAGATGCCTGAGGCTAACAAGACCCCTTACATATGAGTGGCTAACCTCTCCATCTGTAGCGCCTAGGTACACTCTCGTTCACACATGGACCTATGTATCTGTCAGTAACGAGGCTATACATTGCTTGATTGATCATAAAAATTGGGAGTCTTCACTTGTATGCGTAAAATACTCTGTGTGGATGTTTTATCTGACCTTAATTTGCCAAATGGCTAAAGGGGCTTTAATAGTAGTCGTCTGTGTCAAGTTCGTTGAGTGAATGATAATTTACTTTATCATTTTTAAGTATACTTTCATACATCTACTTACTGCTCTACTACCTATTTGACTGAAGAAAGACTTACTGTGTAGGTGAAATGTTTGATCAATAAAGATACCCAACTGTTGTACGTGTGTCTTAATATTCACCATTGTTGTTGTACAGTATTTATAATTTATATAAGAACATAAGAAAGGAGGAAAAATAGTTACAAATGCAGTATAATGCGATCTTTTATTGATTATATTTCACGCATACGGTGAACTATATCAAGTCGCAAACTTGATAAAGCCCACTGTGTGGGCAAAATGTAGCTAAAAAGGATCACATTATACTGCATTTGCCATGGGTTCTAACCCCACTATAATGTGGTTTGATTATTACCGTAATTTTACACGTCATTTAATCTGTGACCTCTGTTTAAGGTAACTTAAAATGATGGGCGCCACTAGAAGTGAAGAATCTATGTGCGAGATTACACTGGGAGTTGAGCCTCGCGTAATAACAGTTCGTGTTCCCATAACCATTCCATCAAGTGCCTGTCACGATGAATTAGCTCATCGTCTCGTGTACCATCACAACATACCTATATATCTTCATAACGGTATGCACATTTCCTTGTTTGTATATTAAAAATTAAGACTGCAATGAGTCCTTGACTTGTGATTCATGTTGAGAATCTTCTGTATTGTGTATAATATCATTATACAGTGGACCCCCGCTTAACGATCACCTCCAAATGCGACCAATTATGTAAGTGTATTTATGTAAGTGCGTTTGTACGTGTATGTTTGGGGGTCTGAAATGGACTAATGTACTTCACAATATTCCTTATGGGAAAAAATTCGGTCAGTACTGGCACCTGAACATACTACTGGAATGAAAAAAGTTCGTTAACCGGGGGTCCACTGTATTATTATTATACACAATTCAGGAGGTCCCCAGTAATAATAATATTTTATTTCAGCATGATGCAATGTTTTTATGTCCATAAAAATATGTAATACGTAATTAGTATTATTATTATTATTTGGGAGAATTGATGGAATTGTGGGGATCTTCAACCTCCATCTCTATTTGCAATCAGAATGACCTTTTTCACAGCCTCTTCTAAATTTATTATTTCTTGCAGGCAGAGGCATCAGTGTCATGTGAATTGTGTATATTCTGTACTGTATTCAGAAATTTATATGGTTGGTAAGTGTGTTTATTTAGACACAGGTACACATAAGTACAATTAACATACATAGTGTAAATTACCCACCAGGGGTAATTTACACTGTGTATTTCCATTACCCAGAAGAACATTTGAAGGTAAATTTTATTATTAAACATAACTCAAAATTCTTGATTAAAAAATTTGGCTTAGTGCTGTACTAGCCAGAAACTATTTTTCCATACTAATATTTGCATAATGTGTGCAACTAGTCTTGGATAATGAATAATGAATAATTAAAATATACCACCCCATAACCTATATCTAATTATAATTAGGCTGTAAGCTATAGGCGTAGTCTCCCTGAAATACTCATGTATCATAATATCTTTCTTCGCACTTAACGGTACAATAAGTCCTCGACTTACAAACACATTGGGGATGTCCTGTATTGTTTATATTATTATTATTATAATCAAGGGGGAAGCGCTAAACCCGGAGGATTATACAGCGCCTGGGGGGGGGGGATGTGGAAGGCATTCAGGCTTAATTTGGGGAACTGGAGCACAGATCCAATTCCCTAAATCAAGAGCCCCTCACCAACATCAAGGAACCTTCCTTGAGGGGTGTATTGTTTATAATAATGACATTATACACAGTAATGATATAATAATGATATTATACACAGTACAGAAGATTCTCGTGTTTGTAATTCAAGGATTTACTGTAGTTTGGAATATGTAAATCAACATTGCAACTTTGCAAAGAAATATGAATTTGATGGATGTTGCAGAATTGAGTGAGAAACTCCAAGCATTCATCCAGGATAAGACAGAGGAATATTATCGTCAACAGGATCATCGTGCCATCCAAAATCTTCGAGACGGAACATTGAATATTGACGATGTTGCAACTGCTTGGGCTAACAAGTACTCCCAAGTAATTCCACTGTTTCTGTCTAGAGTACTTTTATTGTTTTTGTCTAGAGTATTTTGTTTTATTTTGTCTTAGAGTACTTACAAGACTTTACTTTGTCTAGAGTGCTTATGTTATTTTGTTTAGAGTACAAGATTTTACTTTGTCTAGAGTGTTTATATCATGTTATTTTGTCTAGAGTATTTTCATTGTTTCATTTTGTCTAGAGTACTCTCAGTGTTATATTTTGTCTAGAGTACTCTCAGTGTTATATTTTGTCTAGAGTACTTTCAGTGTTATATTTTGTCTAGAGTACTCTCAGTGTTATATTTTGTCTAGAGTACTTTCAGTGTATATTGTCTAGAGTACTTTCAGTGTTATATTTTGTCTAGAGTACCCAGTGTTATATTTGTCTAGAGTACTTTCAGTGTTATATTTTGTCTAGAGTACTTTCAGTGTTATATTTTGTCTAAGACTTCGTGTATATTTTGTTAGAGTACTTTCAGTGTTATATTTTGTCTAGAGTACTTCAGTGTTATATTTTGTCTAGAGTACTTTCAGTGTTATATTTTGTCTAGAGTACTTTCAGTGTTATATTTTGTCTAGAGTACTTTCAGTGTTATATTTTGTCTAGAGTACTTTCAGTGTTATATTTTGTCTAGAGTACTTTCAGTGTTATATTTTGTCTAGAGTACTTTCAGTGTTATATTTTGTCTAGAGTACTTTCCATGCTTTATTTCATGTAGAGTACCACTGCATGCTGAGCAATCCTGATTATATTACTGATTATAATATATTAATCCAAAAATAGTACTTCTGTATATTGTACTTCCAAAAAACGAAGAAACACTTTCATTATCACTCATTCCATCACTGTCTTGCCAGAGGTGTGTCAATACTGTAGTTAAAAAACAGGAATATATTATTATTATTATTGGTATTGCTGCAGCACCGTGTTAGATAGGAGTGATTTAGACAAATGGTTTTAGGAATTGACGTGCTGTTGGAGTGTGAGCAAGGTAACATTTATGGAGGGATTCAGGGAAACCGGCAGGCCGGACTTGAGTCCTGGAGGTGGGAAGTACAGTGCCTGCACTCTGACTGGAGGGGTGTTAATGTTGCAGTTTTATAACTGTAGTGTAAGTGCACCTCTGGCAACACAGTGATGGAGTGAATGATGATAATAGTTTTTCTTTCCTGGCCACCCTGCCTTTGTGGGAAACAACTGATGTGTTAATAAAAAAAAAATACATAATGCAAACATTTCATCCCATATAACTGCACATGATGAATATTGCAGTGCAATATTTTCCCTGAAGGTCAGCAAGAGGCAGGAAGATAAAGGCTGTGAAAATGAGATGCTGGCCTCTATGTATCACTCTCTTGTCCACTCTCCGGCCGCGGTCAATTTGCTCAGTCTTGAACACTCATTTGCTGGCGCCATGAGCTCTCTCGTTGCCCAGAGAGAATATGCCCTGAAGGAAATTAGCGAAAGGTACCGTGTGTTGCTTTGTATACAAAATTGAAATACAATAAATACGTAAATGAAACGATGATACATTTTTTGTAATAATACATGATTAAAATTACAATTCCATAATCTGTGTCTAGTTTGAAGTAGTGTGTAAACATTAATATTTTTCTGCCTGAAATGTTCATCTATGTTAGTGGTTTTATTTGTGCTCAACAGTAGTATTTTATTACATGTAACCGACACTTTATATACTATATGAAGAATTAAAAATGTTGATTTTTTATTTGATTTAGTGAAATTAAGCTTGCCCAAAATGTTCTGTGTAACTATAATATTTATTTCTATAAGTACATGATACAACTTATACAAGGGTGTATAAGCATGGCCTGCCTGTATACTGTATACAGCCAGGTCCAAATGGTGCAAATAATGAATCTTTCAAATCGAATTCAAATTCAAAGTTTATTCTCTATGAGGATTACAATGCTGAGTTTACAGAATTTGGTTATTGTGTGGTTTACATGTAGTAAAATAATAATTACAGAGTGTACCACTAGAACACCTAGCATGGCTAGGCATTTCGGGCAGACTTAGATTAATTCTTAAATTATTCAAATTCACACTGTTTGAATTATGTAATTTTTGTGCAAGATTCAAGGTTTGGGGGAAAACTTGCATAAGTTATATCTGCGCTAAATCAAAATTCACAATTCAAAGTTGCACTAATCGAGGTCTGCCTTATAATTTTGAAATATAAGTATTACAAGCAAACTTTGTTTGTTTTTGTAGTATACAAAGTTTAGTTTACATGTAATAAAATATGATTAAGCAGAAAATAAAGCCATTAACATGTGAAGCAGTACAAGTAGACTAATATTAATGCTTAGACGCTAAGAACAGCAGGAAGGCTCTACTTATACAGTGGTTAGGTTCTGGGCTACTGCTGTAAAGGAGGGCCCTGCTTATATAGCAGGTTAGGTTCTGGGCTACTGCTGTAAAGGAGGGCCCTGCTTATATAGCAGGTTAGGTTCTGGGCTACTGCTGTAAAGGAGGGCCCCACTTATATAGCAGGTTAGGTTCTGGGCTACTGCTGTAAAGGAGGGCCCCACTTATATAGCAGGTTAGGTTCTGGGCTACTGCTGTAAAGGAGGGCCCTGCTTACATAGCAGGTTAGCTTCTGGGCTACTGATGTAAAGGAGGGCCCTGCTTATATAGCAGGTTAGGTTCTGGGCTACTGCTGTAAAGGAGGGCCCCACTTATATAGCAGGTTAGGTTCTGAGCTACTGCTGTAAAGGAGGGCCCCACTTATACAGCAGGTTAGGTTCTGGACTACTGCTGTAAAGGAGGGCCCCACTTATACAGCAGGCTAGGTTCTGGGCTACTGCTGTAAAGGAGGGCCCTGCTTACATAGCAGGTTAGCTTCTGGGCTACTGATGTAAAGGAGGGCCCTGCTTATATAGCAGGTTAGGTTCTGAGCTACTGCTGTAAAGGAGGGCCCTGCTTATATAGCAGGTTAGGTTCTGGGCTACTGCCGTAAAGGAGGGCCCTGCTTATATAGCAGGTTAGGCTCTGGGCTACTGCTGTAAAGGAGGGCCCTGCTTATATAGCAGGTTAGGTTCTGGGCTACTGCTGTAAAGGAGGGTCCTGCTTATATAGCAGGTTAGGTTCTGGGCTACTGCTGCAAAGGATGGCCCTGCTTATACAGCAGGTTAGGTTCTGGGTTACTGCTGTGAAGGAGGGCCCCACTTGTACAGCAGGTTAGGTTCTGGGTTACTGCTGTGAAGGAGGGCCCCACTTATACAGCAGGTTAGGTTCTGGGTTACTGCTGTGAAGGAGGGCCCCACTTATACAGCAAGTTAGGTTCTGGGTTACTGCTGTAAAGGAGGACCCCACTTATACAGCAAGTTAGGTTCTGGGTTACTGCTGTAAAGGAGGGCCCCACTTATACAGCAGGTTAGGTTCTGGGTTACTGCTGTAAAGGAGGGCCCCACTTATACAGCAGGTTAGGTTCTGGGCTACTGCTGTAAAGGAGGGCCCCACTTATACAGCAGGTTAGGTTCTGGGTTACTGCTGTAAAGGAGGGCCCCACTTATACAGCATGTTAGGTTCTGGGCTACTGCTGTAAAGGAGGGCCCCACTTATACAGCAGGTTAGGTTCTGGGTTACTGCTGTAAAGGAGGGCCCCACTTATACAGCAGGTTAGGTTCTGGGTTACTGCTGTAAAGTGAAAATCACTGTTAAGTGAAACACAGCCTTTGTTTCACTTTTAAATGTATATACAGGAAGTCCTCGACTTAAACACATTGGGAACTTCCAGAATTGTGTATAATAATGTTATTATGCACAATAATGATATAATAATGATATTATACACAATAATGATATAATAATGATATACACAATACAGGAGATTCTCGTGTTTGTAAGTCGAGGATTTATTGTAGTTAATTTAATACCAACAGGCAAACAAAAGAGATGAGTAACACAGTGAGTAAAGTGGGTGTGAATCTCACTGACGATGATGTGAATAACCTCGCAGCCTGTCACCTGGAGGACTCCCAGTTAATGGAAGTGCAGTGGGACTCGACGATATCTGTTCTCAGAGAAAATCAGAAATGGGAATTTAAAAACTTTGTCTTGGAGTCTTTTGCTGGAAGAGAGGTCACCACCCCAGTAACTCCTAAGTATGTATCTCGTATATAAGTTGATTTGAAAATAAATTAATAAATGTATATAGATAAATAATAATAATACGTAGTAATAATAATAGTAATCTTTATTTCTACAAGTAGTGATACAACTTATACAGACCATAGCTGACATCAGTGACATACTACATAGAAAGTCCCTGGTTATGGAAAGCACTTCCTACAACTTAGGTTAATTTTGTTGATAATTGTCCTCCCTAACAGGTATCTATTCATCTGTGCAACCAGTTCAACTAACACTCCATTGTAGTATCTATTTCACACTGCTACTTACCAGGGACTAGCAGGTGTAAGACTAAGACATGCCTTACTCTGATAGGGTGAAGATATTACATCAGGTGGAAGTACATACACCTCTAGGATATAATTCACAGTTGGAGGTGGAAGTCAGTACACAAGTGTAGAATGAGTTTGGAGTGGGAGTACAGTCCTGTACTCTGAAGGATGGGTGAAGATATTACAGTTTTGGAGGTGGGAAGTACAGTACCTGTACTCTGAAGGATGAGTGAGAATGTCATAGTTTTGGAGGTGGGAAGTACAGTACCTGTACTCTGAAGGATGGGTGGAGATATATTACATTTTTTTAACTGTAGTGTAGGTGCACCTCTGGCAAGACAGTGATGGTATGAATGATGATGAAAGTGTTTCTTCTTTTTCAGGTCACTCTGCCTTGGTGAGAAATGGCTGATATATTAATAAAAAATAAAACTGCAATACTCAAATAAATCTTGTATTATCCTCTGAGTGCTTGCAATTTTATAAACATTCTCTGCATTATCTCAGGCAAGGATTACACATTTTCTACATATCTGCGACAGGAAATCCACAAACATTTTCTACATTATCTTCATCAGGGATTTCACTAACATCATCTCCGTCAGGGATTTCAGTAACATTATCTCTGTCAGGAATTTCATTAACATTATCTCCATCAGGGATTTCATAACTGGAGGTAGTGACAGTGTTGTGGTGGAGACACTGGAGCCCACACAAGAGGAGAGCTTCACCATTCACCTCGGAGCACAGATGAAACAGATGCATAATCTGCGTCTGCTGTCTGCACACGTACTTCAGCTCTGCAAGTATCAGTCGCATGATGCCAGGTTGGTTCATGCATTGTACACTAGGCAAGATCACGCACAAAATGCAAGGTTGATCAATATACTATAGTAGCCTGGTATCCGTGGGTGATACATTCCAAGAACTACAGTGGACCCCCGTTAACGATATTTTTTCACTCCAGAAGTATGTTCAGGTGCCAGTACTGACCGAATTTGTTCCCATAAGAAATATTGTGAAGTAGATTAGTCCATTTCAGACCCCCAAACATACACGTACAAACGCACTTACATAAATACACTTACATAATTGGTCGCATTCGGAGGTAATCGTTATGCGGGGGTCCACTGTACTATGGATGCCCGAAACCATGTATAGTAGTGAACTTTATTTATATATAAGTCATTTTTGGTTTACATACATGCATATGATAAAGTTTAATTGATAAATTACACACAGTAAGTTGAGAATTATCACTTTTTCACTGATGGGAAGAACTTCACAACTTCTCTTAGACTTTGAACAACTGTCACCATCACTACTTTTGTGCTTTGTGCCCCATTATTATTAAGCAAAATTAAGGCTTATTTTAGGATCACAGTTCACCATGGATAACTGAAACTGTGGAAACCGAATACTCTTTTACGGGGGTTCTACTGCGCCATACAGTAGGCAAGTATCAATCACGCCATACAAGGTTGGCTCATGTATCATACATAACTGATGATAAATGATTTGAAAAAACAGGTTTTGACTTAGACTTTGAGTATATACAGTGTAACCCCTGTATCCACAGATTAGGTTTTAGCGGTTTCAGTTATCTGTGGTTTACAGTGGCTAGCTGGCACCTGCGGCTGGAACATAAAGTCATCAACTTATGAACACGTTGAGAATCTTCTGTATTGTGCATAATACAGGAAATCTTCAAGTTACAAATATGTTGGAGACCTTCTGTATTGTGTATAATAATATATAATAATGATATACACACACAAGATTCTCTGTGTGTTCATAAGTCGAGGACTTACTGTAAGGAACAATGTACAGCAATACATTCACTGATGTTTCTGAATAACTTTCAGCGACATCCCACCGCAGAGGATTCAGACCTCAATGAGCCTCTATTCTCACAACTTGAATGGATTGGTGCTGCTGGTGGATGACCGCATCAACACCTATACTGGAATCAAACGTGGTAATGCTTTTCATTATTAGTAAAGGAAGACCCTGCTTATACAGCAGGTTAGGTTCCAGGCTACTGCTGTAAAGGAGGGCCCCCACCTATACAGCAGGTTAAGTTCCGGGCTGCCGGGTCATTCCATGTCAAGTCGAGGGGTCACCACCTGACCATCTCCAGTTGCAATAAAATTTTCCATGAAGGTTGGCATATACTATGTCATACTAACTTTGGGAAAGTTTAAGTTCATGATATGCAACAGTAGTAATGCCATGACCCTCAGAGTGGAGGCTGGCGAAAATTTCACCGACCCTCAGCACACAATGGTCAGGTTATTGCTGTGGCAGATCTAGAAGAGTGAAAGTTGTGTACGTAGACATGACCATGCAGCTTTTGGAGCTGATTTAAAAAATTAGTCCTAAACCTTACATGCTTTTAATTTTTCAGAGCATGAAGCCAAAGTTGGCGTAAAATTGAATCTTCAATTCAGCTGCCTATATCTCCAAAGGAAAACATTATTTTAGTATGACATTACTGTAGCAGCTACCCAAGTGGACATTGTCACAATCCTAAAATATCAGACTCCAAACCTTTTTAGTTCCTGTGCTAATGGTACCTAAAAATACTCTCTCACAACTCACAGCGAATTTTAGACCATTTTTGAAGACCAATAACAACAAAGCAGCGCAATCAGTTTTCTTAAAATACTTTCACTAGAAAGAGCAGAATCTGTATAAGTTGTGTCATGTACTTGTAGAAATGTTTATACCACAAAAATAAATAGTCTTGTTTTTGTATTCATAATGCTAACTTCTTCCTATTATCATTATTACAGTAAGTCTTCAACACATGAGCACATAAGTTGAGGACACGTAACATGAACATGTAAGATTCTCAACATATTTGTAAGTCAAGGATAGGGCAAGGAGGAATAACATCTTGTAGGAGTGAGGAAGAGCCAGTTGTGAGTGTGGGGGAAGTTCGTGAGGCAGTAGGTAAAATGAAAGGGGGTAAGGCAGCCGGGATTGATGGGATAAAGATAGAAATGTTAAAAGCAGGTGGGGATATAGTTTTGGAGTGGTTGGTGCAATTATTTAATAAATGTATGGAAGAGGGTAAGGTACCTAGGGATTGGCAGAGAGCATGCATAGTTCCTTTGTATAAAGGCAAAGGGGATAAAAGAGTGCAAAAATTATAGGGGGATAAGTCTGTTGAGTGTACCTGGTAAAGTGTATGGTAGAGTTATAATTGAAAGAATTAAGAGTAAGACGGAGAATAGGATAGCAGATGAACAAGGAGGCTTTAGGAAAGGTAGGGGGTGTGTGGACCAGGTGTTTACAGTGAAACATATAAGTGAACAGTATTTAGATAAGGCTAAAGAGGTCTTTGTGGCATTTATGGATTTGGAAAAGGCGTATGACAGGGTGGATAGGGGGGCAATGTGGCAGATGTTGCAAGTGTATGGTGTAGGAGGTAGGTTACTGAAAGCAGTGAAGAGTTTTTACGAGGATAGTGAGGCTCAAGTTAGAGTATGTAGGAAAGAGGGAAATTTTTTCCCAGTAAAAGTAGGCCTTAGACAAGGATGTGTGATGTCACCGTGGTTGTTTAATATATTTATAGATGGGGTTGTAAGAGAAGTAAATGCGAGGGTCTTGGCAAGAGGCGTGGAGTTAAAAGATAAAGAATCACACACAAAGTGGGAGTTGTCACAGCTGCTCTTTGCTGATGACACTGTGCTCTTGGGAGATTCTGAAGAGAAGTTGCAGAGATTGGTGGATGAATTTGGTAGGGTGTGCAAAAGAAGAAAATTAAAGGTGAATACAGGAAAGAGTAAGGTTATGAGGATAACAAAAAGATTAGGTGATGAAAGATTGAATATCAGATTGGAGGGAGAGAGTATGGAGGAGGTGAACGTATTCAGATATTTGGGAGTGGACGTGTCAGCGGATGGGTCTATGAAAGATGAGGTGAATCATAGAATTGATGAGGGAAAAAGAGTGAGTGGTGCACTTAGGAGTCTGTGGAGACAAAGAACTTTGTCCTTGGAGGCAAAGAGGGGAATGTATGAGAGTATAGTTTTACCAACGCTCTTATATGGGTGTGAAGCGTGGGTGATGAATGTTGCAGCGAGGAGAAGGCTGGAGGCAGTGGAGATGTCATGTCTGAGGGCAATGTGTGGTGTGAATATAATGCAGAGAATTCGTAGTTTGGAAGTTAGGAGGAGGTGCGGGATTACCAAAACTGTTGTCCAGAGGGCTGAGGAAGGGTTGTTGAGGTGGTTCGGACATGTAGAGAGAATGGAGCGAAACAGAATGACTTCAAGAGTGTATCAGTCTGTAGTGGAAGGAAGGCGGGTAGGGGTCGGCCTAGGAAGGGTTGGAAGGAGGGGGTAAAGGAGGTTTTGTGTGCGAGGGGCTTGGACTTCCAGCAGGCATGCGCGAGCGTGTTTGATAGGAGTGAATGGAGACAAATGGTTTTTAATACTTGACGTGCTGTTGGAGTGTGAGCAAAGTAACATTTATGAAGGGATTCAGGGAAACCGGCAGGCCGGACTTGAGTTCTGGAGATGGGAAGTACAGTGCCTGCACTCTGAAGGAGGGGTGTTAATGTTGCAGTTTAAAAACTGTAGTGTAAAGCACCCTTCTGGCAAGACAGTGATGGAGTGAATGATGGTGAAAGTTTTTCTTTTTCGGGCCACCCTGCCTTGGTGGGAATCGGCCGGTGTGATAAAAAAAAAAAAAAAAAAAAAAAAAAAAAGGACTTACTGTATAATCATAACTAAGTGCTATAAATTTCTTTGTAGATTTTGCTCGTGTGTGCAGTAGATCAACAGAACTTCACTTCCCTGACTTAGAAGACCAACTGGAGTGTGTTAGAGACATTGTTCCACAGGTGGTACAGTGGCGCCGAGACCATCCTCCGCCGCAGTATGATTGCGAGGATGACGCCCCAGTGAGTTCTCATTTTGTTTTAGAACTGAACTTCAATTCATTGTTACAGGTTAATTTGGGCAAGTAATGGTGAGGACTCTATATCTAAAGGAGTCTGAAACTATTACAAATATTGAGGTAGGTATTGATGTAGTACTGATAATTGCAGTGAGAAGCCACAGAAAGCCTATAAAAAATGTTAACACGATCTAATAACTGACCACCACACACTGTCCAAAAACATGCCAAAAAGTCAAACATACACAATAGACGAATACCACCATAACTACAATATCCAAATACGTAATTCTCAGTATTATACATCAGTGGTCATCAAGTGCGACTAATAATGCAGGAACAAGTGCTAGTAACACCTCACTATATTACTAAATTTAAAAAGGCAACAATGTCATTTTTCTTTTTAGGTCATCCCTGCCCAGTGGGTATCATAATGATACTATACAATATGATATTGTAACATATGCTCTTATGCATAAAATGCTTTACACAGGACACACTTGAGAATCTATGTACTAAGTTGAGGACTTACTGTAACTCCACGGGGAAGCTAAGTTTAGATCCTTTCCTCCTTAAATCATCGTGTCGTAAAGGCAACTAAAATGCCTGGAGCAAAGTGCTAGTAACCCCTGTGACTAATCTTTTACTAAATTAAAAAGATCCAAAACTTTTCTCATTCATTTTTTGGTCACTCTTGTCTTGGTGGGAATCACCAATGTATTAACGTAAATAAATGTGTGGTTGACCCCAGTCAATCTTTGGTCGCACTATGATACTATATGACCCAAAGTCAAGATGCATTACATAAATTGCTGTCTACTTAGCATTGTAAAGTAAAAAAGGATAAGGTTTAAGCTTGTCCAAAATGCTCCACACAGGCTTAGGCTTGTCCAAAATGCTCCACACAGGCTTAGGCTTGTCCAAAATGCTCCACACAGGCTTAGACTTGTCCAAAATGCTCCACACAGGCTTAGGCTTGTCTGAAATGCTCTGTATTTCGGACATGCAGTTTGGCTTTCTGCATGCACAAATGTCACTCATCTCTGTACAAATATTGTATCATGCTGGAATAAGGTACTAATATTATCATCATTATTATTATTATTATAAGTGCTCTTTAAGAATTACCTTCAATCTCTCATATAACGTTCAGTATTTTCATTGCAGTCTGTCCCACCAGTTCCGCAGCATCTTAAAGCTGGAGATTTCTACATCAGCCGACATTCGAACCTTGCTGATGTTCATGTTGTATTTCACATGATTGTGGACGACACACTTCGATCCGGGGACATCAATTCGCGCCATCCAGTCATCCTGGGGCTTAGAAATGTTTTAAAGGCAAGTTTTATATTTTTTAATACAGTAATTCCCTGGTATCCACATGGTATACCTGAAACTGTGGATAGTAACGACTCTATATATAAGTTGCTTTTCATTTACATACTAGGATAAAGTTTAATTATTAAGTTACACACAATAAATCAAGAATTATCACTTTTTCACTGATGGGAAGAACGTCACAGCTTCTCTTAGTCTTTGAACAACTTCCACCATCACTACTTCTGCACTTTGTAGAGTTTATTAGGCAAAAATAAGGGTTATTTTCTGGCCACAGTATAACTGAAACCATTGAAACCGGATCTGCGGATACAGGGTTCTACTGTACATATTTTTAAAAGGCTAAAAATTTTAATACGTGCAAGAATTTAAATTCAGTGACAGAATTCAAGTCCATTTGTCAGATTATGGCCAACACTAATATGTCTAGATCAGGGCTCCCCAAACTGATTAATATCGACCCTTAGGGGTCAATGGAACTATCAGAATGGTTAGTAAATGGCTGGGGGTCATCAATGATATCATAATGACATCAACAGATTCTGCAAAAATGGTATGTTAATTTGTATATTTTTCATAATTTAAATATTATCTATTTTTTTAAGAATTCATTATTACTGTCTATTAATTATTATTCATAAAACTATTAATTACCTAAACACAAATAACCAGCACATAGAAAAGACAAGCTTATGATGACGTAAACAGCCTCCCACCAAGCATAAGGGGAATTACCAATAGACCCCTGACTGCCTTCAAGAGGAAGCTAGACAGATACTTAAAATTGGTGCCAGATCAGCCAGACTGTGGTTTGTATGTTGGACTGCATGCAGTCAGCTTGACATGCTGTTGAAGTGCGACTCCATAAGCACATCAAGTCCGGCAAGCTGGACTCGAGTGCTGGAGGTGGGAAGTACAGTGCCTGCACTTTGAAGGAGGGGTGTTGATGAGTTACAGTTTTATAACTGTAGTGTAGGCATACCTCTGGCAAGATAGTGATGGAATGAGTGATGATGAAAGTGTTTCTTCTTTTTCAGGTCACCCTGATTTGGTGGGAAATGGCTGATGTGTTGATAATACTAAAATAACAAAATGCCGGGAGCAGAGGTCTAGTAACTCCTCCTACTGTATAAATTATTAAATTTAAAAAGAAAAACTTAGCCTTTCTTTATGGGTCACCCTGCCTCTGTGGGATACGATCAGTTTATTGAAAAAAAAAATCTTTTCTGCAGTATATAGGTAATGTACTTTGCATGTAATAGTGTTGTTAGGCACAAGAGAATACCACTAACATACTGGGAATTTTGGTTCAAGTCAGACCGAAATGTTGTAAGCTTCTCTCTCTGTGTGGGTTATTTGTGTATTGTTCCAGTCATGGTATTGTGCCTTTTTGTTTTTTGTCCATTGTGTATAAGGAATAAAATTGTGACTGACAGTCTTCCATGTGTTTGCTGCAGGTTGCCTGTCTGGGAGACATCACAACACTCACCATTCCTCTCTTGCTCACTCTCACCATGTCAGAGGTGAGTTTGAATGCACCATTACTAAGCACCAATCATTACTCTTGCACTGTATTTGTTTACAGTTATATGTACACAACCAACACACGTACAAGACGAGATATGTTTTTAGCATGCACTAGAAATAAATGCATATTTCTGCATTTTTACAAAGCATAACGTATAAACATTCTGGCCAGCAGGAGATGACGATGTCCTGGTGCCAGAAACGTGCTGAACTAGTTTACAAATGCATCAAAGGTTTCATGATGGAGATGACATCTTGGGGTGGAGCCGAAATGAAGAATATGCAGTTCCTTGTACCGAAGGTAAATATCAATCATATCATTAGCATCGTGGGGGAGCGCCAAACCCATAGAGATTATTGAGCGCCTGTGGAGTGGGGGATGGCGTTCAGGGAAGTAGGGGACAGATGTAACTCCCTAAATCAAGAGCTCCACACAAGGGGCTAATTAACCAATAAATGACAGTCACATTACCCTGGATGGAACACATTATTACTATCAAAACTAAGTGCTAAACCCACAAGGGTCATGCAGCTGTGGATGGAACAGTTCACAAATAATAATCTGCACTTTAGAGAAACTTAGTTTGTTTTTATACAGTTTAAAATCAGTTTAGTGCTGTTAGATAAATATATTGTACGGGTGGTCTTCAACTTACAATATTTCAGTTTTACGATGGTTCAGCTTACAATACAGTGGACCCCCGGTTAACGAACTTTTTTCATTCCAGTAGTATGTTCAGGTGCCAGTACTGACCGAATTTTTTCCCATGAGGAATATTGTGAAGTAGATTAGTCAATTTCAGACCCCCAAACATACACGTACAAACGCACTTACATAAATACACTTACATAATTGGTCGCATTTGGAGGTGATCGTTATGCGGGGTTCCACTGTATTTCAGTTTTACGATGGTTCAACTTACAATATTTCAGCTTTACAATGGTTCAACTTACAATATTTCAGTTTTACGATGGTTCAACTTACAATATTTCAGCTTTACAATGGTTCAACTTACAATATTTCAGTTTTACGATGGTTCAACTTTACGATGGTTCATCTTACAATGGGCTCAAGGACCACCTGTGGTTTCAAATTGTATTGTTATAATCAAAACCGAGTGCTAAACCCAGAAGGGTCATACATTGCTGCTGTGTTGAATGATAGCGTGTCGAGTCTAGACAATATTATGTCCATATATTACTACTATTATACTCATGGAAAGCACTAAACATGTATGTGCTCATACAGTGCTGCATGGTGGAGGGGCAACAAGCAGAGGTGTGGAGTGGAGTATCTGGACATTTGTGGAGGAAGACTTATTTATGGAGACAAAAGGAAAATGAGGAGGCTGGAGACAGTGGTGGTGGAGGAGGAGGAGGAGGCTGGAGACAATGGTGGAGGAGGAGGCGGCTGGAGACAGTGGAAGAGGAGGAGTTGGAGGCTGTAACATCATTTCTTTCCGTCTTCTAAGTGGAGGTTGTGTATATATTATTCCCATCACAGTATTGCAACTTACCACAATCAGAAGTAAATGCTAATCCTACAAGGGTCATAGAATGGTGCAGGGTAGGATGTGCTAAAGATGAAATATGCCAGATCAGACCAGCAAAGATGAACACTGTGTGACTTTATTCTTCAAAATCCAAGTTGAATGTATTGATAACAAAAAAAGGCACAATACCGTGACTGGAACGATACATAAATAACCCACACATAAAAGAGAGAAGCTTATGACGACGCTTCGGTCTGACTTGGACAATTTACAAAGTCACAGTGTGACTTTGTAAATGGTCCAAGTCGGACCAAAATGTCGTCGTAAGCTTCTCTCTTTTATGTGCGGGTTATTTATGAATGTATTGATTCCTTAATGTTTCATGTTTGGAATCTCAACATTACATTCTCTTCTGCTGCTGTAAGTTAGACTTGCACCATAATTATAAGTCATAAATTCATATCAGAGTGAGATGAATTATGAAGAATGAGAGACTTGTGCAACATATGGAATCTTTATTTAGGAAATGTTTTGGCACACAGTGGCTTCATAAGTCCAGTACAGAGAAGAACAATGTAAAGAAGAGGAGTAGGTTGAGATAATCAGTCCCTCAGACTGATTACCTCAAACTCCTCCTCCTCCTTACATTGTTCTTCTCTGGACTGGACTGATAAAGCCACTGTGTGCCAAAACATTTCCTAAATAAAGATTCTATATGTTGTGTCTCTCAGTCTTCAACTTGTCAGTTTTCCAAATCATTTATCACAAGATAAATTATGGTAATGAGATATTTATAGCTCTGATCTTCCCCATTATTTCTTCTCTATCAATCACATGAATTTCTCTTTATTCTTTCCTGTCACACACCTCATATATCTTCATAATTTATAAAATCAAATACACTAAATAAATATTTTTTTTTTTCAGGGAATTTCTGAAGAGTTGTTCCAGCATCTGGCAGCGATGCTGCCCAACATCTTCCGAGTGTCGAACCCGTTAGTTGTGAAGTCGTCTTAATAAATATACCTGTACTGCTGTCTCTCTTTTATAATGTCCTATTGTAAATTGATCTTTACTAATTATGACCCTTGTGGGTTTAGCACATAGTTATGATTATAACTAGACTAATATTCACTATTTTAGAAATTAGTATGTACTTAGTTATGATTGTAATAAAAGTTATATTATTATACATAATTATAAGCAAGTGCTAAAATTGCACAAATTAAGTACAGTGGACCCCCGGTTCACGATATTAATCCGTTCCTGAGAGCTCATCATAAACCAAAATTATCGGAAAGCGAATCAATATTCCCCATAAGAAATAATGGAAATCAAATTAATCCGTGCAAGACACCCAAAAGTATGAAAAAAAAAATTACCACATGATATATTAAGTTTAATGCAATATAATAATTACAATAACAATAATAACAATAGAATAATCACAATAGAATAACTGACACTTACCCTTAATGAAGATCTGGTGATGATTGATGGGATGGGAGAGTGTCAAACTTTTTAATGTTTAGAAGGGGATTATTGTTATTATAATCAAAAAGAAGTGCTAAGCCACAAGGGCTATACAGCGCTGCGTTTAGAAGGGGAATCCCCTTCCATTAGGACTTGAGGTAGCAAGTCCTTTTCCGGGGTTACTTCCCTTCTTCTTTTAACCCTTTCAGGGTCCAAGGCCCAAATCTGGAGTCACGCACCAGTGTCCAAGAATTTTCAAAAAAAAAATGTTATTTTTTCTTATGAAATCGTAGAGAATCTTTTTGTGAAGGTAATAAAACAAAAAGTACGAAATTTGGTGGAAAATTGACGAAATTATGCTCTCGCGAATTTTGATGTGTCAGCGATATTTACGAATCGGCGATTTTGCCGACTTTGACTCCCATTTTAGGCCAATTACATTATTCCAATCAACCAAATTCTTAGCTATTTCACTAGTATTACTTCTATTCTATCGATTGAGCACAAGAAATCGCCAAGTCAACTGTTTCAACTACAAAATAAAGTGATCGGAAATTGTTAATTTGGCCAATTTAACACAAAGTTCAAAATATTCCAATTTCAAAATAGGGTCCAGAATAAACAATGTAGGCATTCCTGGCACTAAACTAACATTTCCTCTGTTCATTAGTTATGTTTTGAGGCTTTACAAATAAATTCCATTTTGATTTTTTATTCACATAATGAATTTTATTCACACCAAAAAATAGAAGATTTACTGTTATGCAATACTGTAATAATTGTATAAATATCATCACCATATTTGTGAATGTATATTAGACCCACCAGCTGACGTGTATTAGATGTGTGAGGTCGTTTGTTTACTCTTGAATATCGGCAAAAATTTAACATTTCCGCTACTTTGAGCTCAGTTTCAAGCCATTTCCAGTGCTAAAACCAATCAAAATCATCTCTATTTTTGTAATATGTCTTCCATTCTATCAAATGAGACCAAGAAATCGCAAATACAACTATAAAAAACATACGAGAAAACACTGCAAAGTTGCTGTTTTAATCGAAAAATCATGATTTCAGTTTTTTTCTCTCATTATACACAGTGTGCTGCAGGATCTGTTTTATGTGGTGCACACATACCACATAGATGTATTCTCTCATATCTAGGCCCAAATGTACCACTCACAGTTTATCAGAGTGAGCTGAGCTCATGGCGTAGATCTACGGTTTGGACACTCACCGTAAAGCCGTAGATCTACGGGACGGACCCTGAAAGGGTTAATGCCACTAGGACCAGCTTGAGAGTCACTGGACTTCTGTCGCACAACATATCTGTCCATAGAGGCCTGTACCTCTTGTTCCTTTATGACTTTCCTAAAGTGTTTCACAACATTGTCAGTGTAATAGTCACCAGCACAGCTTGCAATAGCTGTGTGAGGGTGATTTTCATCAAAAAAGGTTTGCACTTCAAGCTACTTTGCACACATTTCCTTAATTTCAATAGTCATTAGCACCCTTGGTCTCGATGGGTTGGCACTAGAAGCTTTCTTGGGGCCCATGGTGACTTATTTTGCAGAAACAAGCACCAAAAACAGTGATAATATGGATAATATAGAATGTACCGAATGTATCCTTAGATGCGCGCACACTGGCTGGCTAGTAAACACTGGACACGTCTCATACAAATCGTATCGCATACCGGGTTTTGTAATGGGAACCGAAGCAAATTTTTTGCGATATGCTTTGGATACCGGATTTATCGGATACCGATGGCTTCGCGAACCGGGGGTCCACTGTACATTAGTACAGTGGACCCCCGCATAACGATCACCTCCGAATGCGACCAATTATGTAAGTGTATTTATGTAAGTGCGTTTGTACGTGTATGTTTGGGGGTCTGAAATGGACTAATCTACTTCACAATATTCCTTATGGGAACAAATTCGGTCAGTACTGGCACCTGAACATACTTCTGGAGTGAAAAAATATCGTTAACCGGGGGTCCACTGTAATTAATAATAATGCAATCAAGCACTAAACCCAAAAAGTTCATATACCTCATTTATCATTATTTGTGCATTTTACCGAGAGCTCTAAACCTGCAGAGGTCCTACAGCACCTAGGGAATTGGGAGGCATTTGGGTTCAATCTAAGGGAGCACAAACCCCCTCAAGGGAGGTTCCTTGATGCTGGTGAGGGGCTTTTGATCTAGGGAATTGGATCTGTTCTCCACTTCCCAGAATTAAACCTGAATGCCTTCCATCCCCCCCTTAAAGGAGTTGTATAATCCCTATGGGTTTAGTGCTCCCCCAAATAAGGGAGTAGAGGTAAACAGGTTCACTTCCTTGCATTAATAACCTCCCCAACCCTCATGAGCACTGGCACCTAGGAACCTCCCTTAACCCTTTCAGGGTTGGACCCTCCCTGATCCGAAATTTGATGGAAAACTTATGGAATTACGCTCTTGCAAAATTAGCAGTCTCAGTGACATTTACACATCAGTGATTTCACCCACTGAACCTTATTTTTGGCCCATTCCATTGTTCCAGTTGACCAAACTCACGGCTATTTTGCTATTCTTTCTACCAACTACAAGAAACCTCCCATTTACCTATTTCAACTATCCAGTAAAGTGATCAGAAATTGGTAATTTGGCCAATTTAATACAAAATTCAAAAATTGCCCCCCTCAAGGAAGGTTCCTTGATGTTGGTGAGGGGCTCTTGATTTAGGAAATTGGATCTGTGCTCCAGTTCCCCGAATTAAGCCTGAATGTCTTCCACATCCCCCCCCACGTGCTGTATAATCCTCCGGGTTTAGCGCTTCCCCTTGATTATAATAATAATAATAATCAAAAATTGCCAATTTAAAAATAGGGTCCAGAATAAACAATGTAGACATTCCTGGCACTAAAAAATATTTCTTTTGTTCATCAGTCACGTCCCCAGACCTTTCTTATATTACTGTACGCAGACTACTGCATTATTGTAATAATTATATAAATAATGTCAGTGTATACGTGAGCATCTATTAGACTAACCAGTTAGACAAGTGATATTATTTGTGTACTCTGGAATATCGGTAAAATTTGAACAATTCCGCTATTTTGAGCTCAATTTCTAGCTACTTTCAGTCCTGAAAGCAATCAAAATCATCTTTACTTCTGTAATATATCTTCCATTTTATCAAATGAGACCAAGAAACCGAGAATACAACCATAAAAGCCATAAGAAAATACACCGCAAAATCGCTGTTGTAAACTAAAAACACAGTCGCAGTTTTTTTCATCATGCATTGTGAGCTGTATACAGTGGACCCCCGGTTAACGATATTTTTTCACTCCATAAGTATGTTCAGGTGCCAGTACTGACCGAATTTATTCCCATAAGGAATATTGTGAAGTAGATTAGTCCATTTCAGACCCCCAAACATACACGTACAAACGCACTTACATAAATACACTTACATAATTGGTCGCATTCGGAGGTAATCGTTATGCGGGGGTCCACTGTATTCTCTCGTCTCTAGGCTCAAATTTACCAATCACAGTTTATCTGAGTGAATTAAGCTCATGGCATAGAACTACAGGACCAACCTCAAAAGGGTTAAGAGTAGGGCCACCAGCAGCAACAGCCTGGTTGACCAGGCAAGCACCAGACCAGCCTGGCCTGCGGCCGGGCTCCAGAATGGAAAAACTCTTGCAACTCACCAACATTAAAATATACTAATTTTGCATTATTATTAAGGTATATAGACAGACTGTTTATAAATGACCATAATTTTTAAAGGGGTGGACCGGTAAGTCAGCGGAAGGCCTGGGTCAGATGACCAAAAGCTCCAAAGGCGGGTCATCATCTGACTAAGACCCGCGTCAGGAAACATTTGTCCTGTTTCCTGACGAACCTTACCTAACCTAACCTAACTAATTTTGCATTACCTCTGATCATTTTATCTCCAAGAAAGATGGAAAGCCTGTCAATTATTCATTGGCTTTTTTTTCTGATAAAAACAAAAGCCTGATAACATATTTACGCTGTCATATATTAAGTCCTCAATACAACTAGGTATAAAAAAAAAATAAGTATGGCACTGGTTGTCCTTCCTTTACACAAGTGCAGGAAAGTTATATAAGCAACAAACATAATGAAAAATGACTCGACTGAAACCCAACGAAAATGTGGAACACCAAAAATAGGTTGATGTATACATGGGGCCCTCCTGTAATACACAGGGCCCTCCTGTAATACACAGGGCCCTCCTGTAATACAGGGCCCTCCTGTAATACACAAGGCCCTCCTGTAATACACAGAGCCCTCCTGTAATACACAGAGCCCTCCTGTAATACACAGAGCCCTCCTGTAATACACAGAGCCCTCCTTTAATACACAGAGCCCTCCTGTAATACACGGTACCCTCCTGTAATACACGGGGCCCTCCTGTAATACACGGGGCCCTCCTGTAATACACGGGGCCCTCCTGTAATACACGGGGCCCTCCTGTAATACACAGGGCCCTCCTGTACTTACACAGGGCCCTCCTGTCATACACGGGGCCCTCCTGTCATACACGGGGCCCTCCTGTCATACACGGGGCCCTCCTGTCATACACAGGGCCCTCCTGTCATACACGGGGCCCTGTCATACACGGGGCCCTCCTGTCATACACGGGGCCCTCCTGTCATACACGGGGCCCTCCTGTCATACACGGGGCCCTCCTGTCATACACAGGGCCCTCCTGTATTACACAAGGCCCTCCTGTGATACACGGGGCCTTCCTGTGATACACAGGGCCCTCCTGTGATACACAGGGCCCTCCTGTGATACACGGGGCCCCCCTGTGATACACGGGGCCCTCCTGTGATACACAGGGCCCTCCTGTGATACACAGGGCCCTCTTGTATTACACAGGGCCCTCCTGTGATACACGGGGCCCTCCTGTGATACACAGGGCCCTCCTGTGATACACAGGGCCCTCCTGTATTACACAGGGCCCTCCTGTATTACACAGGGCCCTCCTGTATTACACAGGGCCCTCCTGTGATACACAGGGCCCTCCTGTATTACACAGGGCCCTCCTGTATTACACAGGGCCCTCCTGTGATACACGGGGCCCTCCTGTGATACACAGGGCCCTCCTGTATTACACAGGGCCCTCCTGTATTACACAGGGCCCTCCTGTATTATTCACTTCATTAGCATTCTTAACCTTTCTTTGTATTCACCCCACAAGGCATTTGCTCTCGTGTCTTTCAATATACGTGAATCCTGTATGTGACCATCTTTCAAAAAATACAGATACGTAGCTGCATTATTATAATCCTAACTAAGCACTAAACCCTTAAGGGTCAACAGATAGTTGTAAAACAATATAAAATGGAGGTTTTTCTATTAAACTGTTTTAAAAAAAAATAGCCTTAATTTCCTAGAAGTTACACAATTACACAAACGAACTACAGCCTGTACAAACCATGGAACAGGTGGGATTTGAACTCGTGACAAGCGAGTCCTGAAACTCACAATCCAGTGTATGAATTACAGTCTCTATATCTGGCTAAAGACCTCAAGCTGTGAACCTTTGAAGAGTTCCAAGAGTTTATCTGCTCTCTGAGCCCGGCCATGGGCCAGGCTTGTCTGGTGCTTAAAAAAGATATCTTTTTACTATGTCTTAGGTTTTAATACATATAATAGGCCTATGCTGGTATCAATAACATAGTCTTAAGAAAAAACTTTAATTAATTTTACAGTTGAATATAAAATGCAATACATCATCACTTTACTCACCTACCAGTATATATACCTGAAAGAAATGTCCTCTTCCACAGTAACCTTAATGATATTATTCCTGTGTTGTTAGAACACTACCTTGCTGATGGTGATGCCATATACATCAGGGCCTTGCACATACAGCAGGGCCTTGCTGCATATTCAGCAAGGCCCCACATATACAGCAGAGCCCCACATATACAGCAGGGCCTCACACATACAGGGCCTTGCTGCATATTCAGCAAGGCCCCACATATATAGCAGAGCCTCACATATACAGCAGGGCCTTGCACATACAGGGCCTTGCTGCATATTCAGCAAGGCCCCATATATACAGCAGAGCCCCACATATACAGCAGGGCCTTGCTGCATATTCAGCAAGGCCCCACATATACAGCAGAGCCCCACATATATAGCAGGGCCTTGCACATACAGCACCTCTTTTCAGTGTTTCACATTTCTGTTGGCTTTCAATTGAGCCATTGCTCCATCTGCTGGCTATTTTTGCCAGTGGGTTGAACATAATGAATAATGGCTCAATCTGAAACCGACGAAAACATGGAACACCGAAACGAGGCACTGTATATGCAGGACCCTCCTATACCAAGAGATGCCCTTGCAGGCACACCTCAGAGGGTAGACCAGTGCTCACCTATAATTACACAAATAAAAAAACTCCCTTATAAATGACAATGACAACTTTGGGTAGTCAAATACAGCTGACGTTACTGCAACTAAGGTTACATAGTTATGGTACTAAGTAGTAAATAAAAGAGTGAGGTTCATGGACAACAGGGCCTTGACTTACAATACTTTAAACATGCAATTTGGAACCAATTAATTACTTAGGATCAAGTGTCTGGCACTTCCAATGGCAGGAATACTACATTAACAAATTGTCTTAAAGATGAAGTACAAATATATTTTTGTCAGGTTTTCTAAATGCAATCAAAGGTATTTCAGACAATGTTTAGTTGGTGAGGCAAAAACCACACACAATGCACCATCAAGAACCACACACAACACACACTGCTTTCTACCTTTGTTACTACCTTCCTACCTCTGCTGCTACAGTAAAACCTTCATAAAACCAACACCTATGCATTGATTTCAGATACAACAAAACGTTTGCCCAAACAGAGGCTTGATGCAGCCGACCAAGTCTGCCCACACACAGATCAAGTCCAATGCAGTGAGGATTTCGATGCAACTGTTTTTATTAAAGTGGGCACCCACATCGGTCCATTATACACAGGTTTCACTGTGCCTGGTTCCCTAGTTAATTACTCCCCATCACTACCTGGTGACCTCAAAAATTCCCCATGAACTGCTGTGGGCCATTTCAGGCTGACTAAGCCTTGTACTCCTGGAGAAATAACATTTGCAGACAGAGGCTTTTCTTATGCAGCTCCCAGATTGTAAAACAGGTTGTCAATATCCTAAGTCAGGAATCTGTTCATGATTTTAAGTCTTAGTTGAAAGCACATCTTTTTTCTCAAGCTTAAGATCTTGATGATCACATACAGCAGGAGCCCCACATATACAGCAGGGTCCCACATATGCAGCAGGGCCCCACATATACAGCAGGGTCCCACATATGCAGCAGGGCCCTACAGATACAGCAGGGCCCCTACATATACAGCAGGGCCCCACATATACAGTGACTATTTTCAGTGTTCCACATTTTTGTTTGCTTTTCATTTGAGTCATTGTTCCATCTGCTGGTGACAATCATGAGCGGATGGAACACAATGAACAATAGTTCAGTTTGAAGCCAATGAAAATGTGGAACACTGAAAAGAAGATGCTGTAGATGCAGGGCCCAGCTCTACTCTCCTTTATAACCTCTACTATTCTGATAATCTTGCAGTTGTTGTATTTATGGTTTGGTGTGTGAATGCTTGTGAATTTCTCAAAAGAGCAGATGCCCAAGAATTATAAAATCCAAAAATATTATTCACTACCTGCCTCCAACTGCTTTAAACATTTTAAGAAGTGGCTAAAACATCTATAAATGCTTTTAATAAATGCTTATCTAATCTTTTTTTATATTACGGGGAGCAAAAAAAATTACCGAATATCAAATTATTGGTCACCCCATCTCCCTTCGCATCTACTTAACTCACTGACTACTTCCTGTTCTATCTACCTACCTAGCCTTCTCCTCCTCTCCTCTCAGTAACACGTATACACAACAGTGATCAACGTCTCATACTAATCATAGAAATGGTGGAATTCGAACCTACGGCAGGCGAGCCCTATACATTAAGTCCTCGATTTATAAACACACAGAGAATCTTCTATATTGTGTACAATATCATTATTATACACAACTGAGGAGGTCCCCAACATGTTTGTAAGAGGACTTGCTGTAACTCGAAGGTGAGTAGTTAAGCACTCTGGCCTGCCTGTATCAGGATTCACTTGCCATGGGTGAGCCCCACTCATGTTATGATTTTGTGAGTAATGTTTAACACTACCGTGTTTGTAAGTGAAAAAAAAAGTACTGAATGTTAAATATTTCATAAAAAAAATAGTCTTGAAGAAAAATTAAATGAAATTAGATAGAATATTATTGTGTAGGAATGACTTAACCAACTTTACATCATTTCTTAGGGAAAAATAGGTTCCAGCAAGCACCTAACAAGTTTTCAGGAATAATAATGTCCTAAGTTGGGCCCTACTGTTTACTCATTAAACTTAAAACAAAAAAAATTAAAAAGATAAAAGCACAAATACTCTTCAGCCAGTACAAAAATAATTATAATACGTTTTCAGGTGATCAAGTGTATGAAAGCAAACAATGTTTGTATTACAGAAAAAAATTCATTTACTCTGTAGATTCAAGTTCAGAATGATCAATCTCAAATTCAATCACAAGAAATCCAGATTTCAAATATATTACAACTCTGGGTTTCCATGTGCATAAAAGACATTCAAAAATAACTTATACATTCCTATATTGAACTTAAAAAGGTTTTTAGTGCCAACTGTCCCTTGGAGAATATCAACACAAGTTTATATTTAACTTACAGTACATGGATGTGAAATACACCATTTGTTACATAACAATCACATAAGTTAATAAAATACAGTAAACTTGGACCATATCTATTCAGGGGCTTACTATTGGACCCAGACACGACTGAAATTGAATATGCAATTACACTAATTCATAATTGTACGTACGTAACATTAACTCTCTTGTTTACATCTAAATTCGACTGCAAAACTTTTGTTTCAGTCAGGGGTATGGTTAAGAGGAACGACCACTTACAAAAAATACATACGAGTCACAATTTGCCCGTCACTAAGATCCTTGAGTGGATGGCTGGGTATACATACCCACACTGTGCCAATGATAACCTCCAGTCGTATGTCTTTCTGTATGTCTCGAGTCACAAACCAGGTACCATATTTTACGGCGTTGATGTTTTTTCCCCCAAAATAAGTCTTATAAATTTACTCAGCATATTGGAGGTCAAAGTACCACTTATCTTTTTTCCTAAAATTTAGCCAGTCAGAACTGTGATGCATCCTCAACACTGGAGTGTCTTGTAAGCCGTAAAATACAGTAACTCATCCAGATTAATGTGTAATTTCCAGTACAGCAATTTGTCTGCCATACACTCAATTCCATTACTTATTCTATTTTGTTTCACCTTCTTTGCTCCCTCCTCTTCACAGCAGGAATAAATTGTTCGGCACCATAATCCAACCACATTTATTTCCTGAAAAAATAAAGTTCCATTACACCATCATCTATATTAAACCTAAAGAGGTATAAGAGACAGTCTTCAACCATTATACCCGGGTATACTGTACCCAGCAAGGACAATTAAAAGAAAAAATTAGGAAATATATACAGTAACATCTCTATGGGGAAGTGGAAAAGAATTCTTCCTCTGTAAGTCATGTGTCATAAGAGGAGACTAAAATGCTGGGAGCAAGGGGTTAGTAGCACCTGTATACATTAGGTCATAATACCTTGGTGGGATATGGCCACTTTGTAGAGAAAATAAATATAAAGTAACAACCATTGAAGGAGTGTGAGGCTTATACATAAATAACCCCCACATAGGAGAGAAGAGCTTATGACGACATTTTAGTCCGACTTGGACCATTAACAGAGTCACTTGCCAATGGTCCAACTCAGGTCAAAATGTCATCACAAGCTCCTCTCTCCTATGTGCAGGTTATCTGTGTATTGTTGCAATCACGCTATTGTGCCTCACATTTCTCTATGCGAGGCTTAGTGTAATTCTATGTCACAACCCACCTTTCCATGTCCCCTCACTACAGTTAAAAAGATGAGCACTTATAGCATACATCTCATCTGTATCTATACAGTATATCTAAATGCTTGAGAGGACCTTGGATGTAAAGTAGCATAATACCATCTCATTTTCAGACAATACAATTTGTAAGCATTACCATTAATTTGCCCTAAATGCTCATGCATTTTGGGTTTTCTTAGTGCTTAACAATATTTTATTACATGTATATATACATGTCACCGTGGTTGTTTAATATATTTATAGATGGGGTTGTAAGAGAAGTAAATGCGAGGGTCTTGGCAAGAGGCGTGGAGTTAAAAGATAAAGAATCACACACAAAGTGGGAGTTGTCACAGCTGCTCTTTGCTGATGACACTGTGCTCTTGGGAGATTCTGAAGAGAAGTTGCAGAGATTGGTGGATGAATTTGGTAGGGTGTGCAAAAGAAGAAAATTAAAGGTGAATACAGGAAAGAGTAAGGTTATGAGGATAACAAAAAGATTAGGTGATGAAAGATTGAATATCAGATTGGAGGGAGAGAGTATGGAGGAGGTGAACGTATTCAGATATTTGGGAGTGGACGTGTCAGCGGATGGGTCTATGAAAGATGAGGTGAATCATAGAATTGATGAGGAAAAAGAGTGAGTGGTGCACTTAGGAGTCTGTGGAGACAAAGAACTTTGTCCTTGGAGGCAAAGAGGGAATGTATGAGAGTATAGTTTTTACCAACGCTCTTATATGGGTGTGAAGCGTGGGTGATGAATGTTGCAGCGAGGAGAAGGCTGGAGGCAGTGGAGATGTCATGTCTGAGGGCAATGTGTGGTGTGAATATAATGCAGAGAATTCGTAGTTTGGAAGTTAGGAGGAGGTGCGGGATTACCAAAACTGTTGTCCAGAGGGCTGAGGAAGGGTTGTTGAGGTGGTTCGGACATGTAGAGAGAATGGAGCGAAACAGAATGACTTCAAGAGTGTATCAGTCTGTAGTGGAAGGAAGGCGGGGTAGGGGTCGGCCTAGGAAGGGTTGGAGGGAGGGGGTAAGGAGGTTTTGTGTGCGAGGGCTTGACTTCATGCAGGCATGCGTGAGCGTGTTTGATAGGAATGAATGGAGACAATGGTTTTTAATACTTGACGTGCTGTTGGAGTGTGAGCAAAGTAACATTTGTGAAGGGATTCAGGGAAACCGGCAGGCCGGACTTGAGTCCTGGAGATGGGAAGTACAGTGCCTGCACTCTGAAGGAGGGGTGTTAATGTTGCAGTTTAAAAACTGTAGTGTAAAGCACCCTTCTGGCAAGACAGTGATGGAGTGAATGATGGTGAAAGTTTTTCTTTTTCGGGCCACCCTGCCTTGGTGGGAATCGGCCGGTGTGATAATAAAAAAAAAAAAAAAATATATACACACAAGTTTTGAATATACTGTACAGTGGGACCCCTGTATCCATGAGGGATACATTCCAAGGACCCGCTGTGGGTACCGAAACCGTGGATTGTAGCAGACCCTGCAAGTCAATTTTTTACATTTTTTTTTTTTTTTTTTTCAACAAGTCGGCCGTCTCCCACCGAGGCAGGGTGACCCAAAAAAAAAGAAAGAAAATCCCCAAAAAGAAAATACTTTCATCATCATTCAACACTTTCACCACACTCACACATTATCACTGCTTTTGCAGAGGTGTTCAGAATACAACAGTTTAGAAGCATATATGTATAGAGATACACAACATATCCCTCCAAACTGCCAATATCCCAAACCCCTCCTTTAAAGTGCAGGCATTGTACTTCCCATTTCCAGGACTCAAGTCCGACTATATGAAAATAACCGGTTTCCCTGAATCCCTTCACTAAATATTACCCTGCTCACACTCCAACAGATCGTCAGGTCCCAAGTATCATTCGTCTCCATTCACTCCTATCTAACACGCTCATGCACGCTTGCTGGAAGTCCAAGCCCCTCACCCACAAAACCTCCTTTACCCCTCTTTCCAACCCTTTCGAGGACGACCCCTACCCCTTTTCCTTCCCTATAGATTTATATGCTTTCCATGTCATTCTACTTTGATCCATTCTCTCTAAATGACCAAACCACCTCAACAACCCCTCTTCTGCCCTCTGACTAATGCTTTTATTAACTCCACACCTTCTCCTAATTTCCACACTCCGAATTTTCTGCATAATATTTACACCACACATTGCCTTAGACAGGACATCTCCACTGCCTCCAACCGTCTCCTCGCTGCTGCATTTACCACCCAAGCTTCACATCCATATAAGAGTGTTGGTACTACTATACTTTCATACATTCCCTTCTTTGCCTCCATAGATAACGTTTTTTGACTCCACATATACCTCAACACACCACTCACCTTTTTTCCCTCATCAATTCTATGATTAACCTCATCCTTCATAAATCCATCCGCCGACACGTCAACTCCCAAGTATCTGAAAACATTCACTTCTTCCATACTACTCCTCCCCAATTTGATATCCAATTTTTCTTTATCTAAATCATTTGATACCCTCATCACCTTACTCTTTTCTATGTTCACTTTCAACTTTCAACTTTTTTACATACATACCTATTATAAAGTTTAATTAACAAATTACACACAATAAGTGGAGAATTATCACTGTTTTGCTGATGGGAAGAACTTCACAACTTCTCTTAAACTCTGAACAACTTCCACCATGGCACTTTGAAGGCGTTATTAAGCAAAATTAAGGATTATTCTTAAGCCAGGATAAACCACAGATAACTGGGACTGCGGATACCAGACCCACGGATGCGGGGATTCTACTGTACTATAATAGAGTAAGTCCTCACTTAATGTTGGTAACTTTAAGCAAAACAATATATGACGAAACCATACCTCTGTCCATCATGAAACCTCTTTAAAGCTTCTAGTTTTGTTTCTAATGTCACACTACTCTGTATTATTGTGGCCACAGACATCAGTGGTGCACAGTGCACCTTCAGCACTCGTTGCAACAGTATTAAATCAAGGAATAAATGTTTGCAAACCATACCCCCGGCTGGGATTGAACCCGCGGTCATAGAGTTTCAAAACTCCAGCCCGTCGCGTTAGCCACTAGACAAAGTTAAAATTCTAAGGCAATTCACAAACAAACAATAACAGCTCTGGCGGACTCGCTGAGAGCTTTCATACTGCATCGTTTATTGTTGTGCATTCGTATGATTATCCTATACTTTGTGATTTTTTATTTTGCAATAATTTGTATTCATTTGATTTTTTCTCATCACCGTTACAACGAAATGACATTATTTGAGGCCCTGCTGTATATAGTATCTGTTAGGTATTCCCAGTAATACTAACTGGCACAGCAACATACACTGAATACAATTACAAATTAACCTACCAAAGATAATTTTAAATTAGAAAACTTATTACATATACAATACATTAGAAGAGAGCCCTGCATAACAGCTATTTTCAGTGTTCCACATTTTCACTGAGTCATTGTTCATTATGTTCCACTTGCCAATGACAGTCACCAGCAGGTGGAACAATGGCTCAATTTATAGCCAACAAAAATGTGGAACAGTGTCGTAAGAGGTGACTAACACACCGGGAGCAAGGTGCTGGTAACCCCTTTTCCTGTATACATTACTGAAGTTAAAAAGAGATTTTTTTTTTTTTGGGTCACCCTGCATCAATGGGATATGGTGGGTGTGTTGAAAGAAGAAAAACGAGGAACAGTGAAAATAAGTGTGAATGTGGGGCCCTCCTGTACTACAAAATACTAGCAAAATTATAGCCATTTTTCAGTAAGCAATGATTTTTTACTTTTCACAGAAAAATAGTTAATGAACTTACTTGCTCTTCTTGCTATGACGGCGATCACCAGAGTCGTCTCTAGACCTCTTCTTATCTGAGTGCTTGCTACTGCTGTTTGAGTGTCGATTTTTGTCCTTGCTTGGAGATTTGTGGGAACTTTTATGAGATGACGACTTGTGTGGAGAACTGTGGGAGGATTTGTGCGAGGATTTGTGCTTGCTACTGGAAATGTGAAAGCAAATCAAGATTGAAGATGTTATGTAGTGTTAGCTGTATAAACACTGAGATTTAAATTATGAAAGCTTTTTTTTTTTTCAGGTCACCCATCCTTGGTGGGATATGGTTAGTGTATAAGATAATCAAGATTAACCATTAAACTGTCCAAATGTAGATCTACATTTATGTGCCTAGCGCTCTGACTTTTATTTCCTCTATTTGAAAGCATGTAAAAAAAAAAAGAAGTAGATCTACATTCAGAGCGCTAAGCATGTAAACGTAGATCTACTTTGGACAGTTTAAGAGTTAAAGATGTAATGTAGTACACCTACCATCCGACTTACGACCTGCTCGACTTACGACCAGTTTCTCGGAACCGAACTCGGTCATAAGTTGGATGGTAGGTATATTAGTTGTATAAACAGTGTGAGATTTAAGTTATGAAAACTTTTTATTTTTTTTTAGGTCACCCTGCCTTGGTAGGATACGGCCGTTGCACAGGAAAAAAAAATAGATTATGAACCTTACTGCATTAGGTTGTTTATCAAAATAATATTTGATTCAATGTGAATTTTGTGAAGTACAGTTGTACCTCACTAATACGGCTCTTTTCAATTTTTTTAACATGCTTGCCATCTCCCACCGAGGCAGGGTGACCCGAAAAAGAAACACTTTTGCCATCATTCACTCTATCGCTGTCTTGCCAGAGGTGCTTCGATATGACAGTCTAGATGTCCCTCTAAACAGCCAATATCTTTAACCCTTCCTTTAGAGTGAAGGCATTGTACTTCCCACCTCCAGGACTCCAAGTCCGGCTAACCTGTTTTCCTGAATCCCTTCACAAAATATTACCCTGATCACACGCCTACAGCTCGTCAAGTCCTGAAAACTATCTGTCTCCGTTCCTATCTAACATGCTCACACATGCTTGCTGCATGTCCAAACCCTCACACACAAAACCTCCTTTATCCCCTTCCTCCATCCTTTCCTGGGATGACTACCTCTCCTTCCTTCCACTACAGATTTATACATTCTCCAAGTCATCCTATTTTGTTCCATCCTCTCTAAATGACCAAACCACCTCAACAACCCCTCCACACCTCCTAATTTCTGCACTATGACTGCTCTGCATAATATTTACACCTCATCCAGGGCCCCCATAACAGTTCAAGCTTCAGGGACCCTACAACAGTTCAAGCTTCAGGGCCCCCATAACAGTTCAAGCTTCAGGGCCCCCATAGCAGTTCAAGCTTCAGGGACCCCATAACAGTTCAAGCTTCAGGGACCCCCTAACAGTTCAAGCTTCAGGGACCCCATAACAGTTCAAGCTTCAGGGATCCCATAACAGTTCAAGCTTCAGGGACCCCATAAAAGTTAAAAGTTTAGGGTGCCCAAAATGTGGACCCCCCACAGACCTCATCTATAAATACAGCCTGTCCTCACTTAGCGATGCGCTTGTTTACCAAATACTTGGACTTTGGACGGGCTCTCTGACCAGTGTGCATACCCAAATAAAGCCTCTCCTCGCTTAATGATGAAATTCCGTTCCTAAGACCACGTCGTTAAATGAATTTGTCACTAAGTGAGGAGCATACTATAATGGTAGTGAGTTTGTGTCAACCATCTTTGATATTGTTTTAATATCACCGTTGCACCTTTATAACATTTCTGGTATATTTTTAAATGTTTATACAGTAGTGTACTGCATACTGTAATAAACAGAATAGAGGAAATCAGCTTTAATATACATTATTCTTCTTTCAACACACCGGCCGTATCCCACCGATATAGGCATGAATATTGGTCAGAGAACCCGTAGCAAGTCCGAGTCGTCAGTAAACGAGTGCGTTGCTAAGTGAGGAGAGGCTGTAATGTATATTAGAGTTGATTTTCTCTATTCTGTTTATTACAATATACAGTACACTGCTGTATAAACATTTAAAAATATACCAGAAATGTTATAAATGGTGCAAAGGCGACATTAAAACAATATCAAAGATGGCTGACACAAACTCACTACCATTATACAGTGGACCCTCGCATAACGATTACCTCCGAATGCGACCAATTATGTAAGTGTATTTATGTAAGTGCGTTTGTACGTGTATGTTTGGGGGTCTGAAATGGACTAATCTACTTCATAATATTTCTTATGGGAACAAATTCGGTCAGTACTGGCACCTGAACATACTTCTGGAGTAAAAAATATCAGTTAACCGGGGGTCCACTGTAGTATGCTCCTCACTCGGCCACGAATTTATTTACCGACGTGGTCTTAGGAACGAAACTCCGTTGTTAAGCGAAGAGAGACCATACATTAAAATGTATTATGTTGAAACAAACTTGTATTGTATTGTATTGTACTGTATTGTATTGCATAACTCACCTGTCATGTTTGGACGATTTATGCTTGGAGCTGAAAAAAAATAATGTGATTAAAATTTATTCTGAGAACTGAAACAAAATATATTAAATACATGATATATAAAACAAGAGTTTTGATGTAATATAAAGTGGTTCATAATATTGACTCGTGGAGTATACTAATAGTAATATGCAAATTATCCTAGCATTAATGATTCTAACATTAAAATAGATAATCCTAACATTGAAGCATGCTAACTAATCCTAACACTAAAACTAGAGCTAACAATCCTAACATTGAAACAAGCTAACAATCCAAACATTAAACATGTAGTAATGTTTCATTACATTTGTCTACAGTTTTTAACAATCCACATATTTTTTAAAAAATATGACAGGTTCACAAAATCAGAGATATTTCTATTGCACATTTCTAGGTTGCAAAGCAGTAGCAATGTCATGCAACACATAATGAGACTCATGCATGGCCGGATCTACTAGGAAACTAATGAAGCTCAAGCTTTAGGGCCCCTAAACCCAGAGGGCCCCTGAACCAACTTTAGTCCACACTGTAAAATTTTTGAGTCTACTGTATGAAAAGGGGCTGCCAAGGGGCCCCATAACAGTTCATGATTCAGGGGCCCCTATAACAGTTCAAGCTTTAGGGAGCCCATAACAGTTCAAGCTTCAGGGCCCTCATACCAGTTCAAGCTTCAGGGGCCCCCATAACAGTTCAAGCTTCAGGACCTAATAACAGTTCAAGCTTCAGGGCCCCATAACAGTTCAAGCTTCAGGGCCCCATAACAGTTCAAGGTTCAAAGGGTTGAAGAGGGGATTGTTGAGGGTTTGGTCATTTAGAGAGGATGGAACAAAACAGGATTACTTGGAGGGTGTATAAATCTGTAGTGGAGGAAAGGAGGGGTAGGCATCATCCTAGGAAAGGATGGAGGGAGGGGATAAAAGAGGTTTTTGTGTACAAAGGGCTTGGACATAGAGCAGGCATGTGTGACTGTGTTAGAAAGGGGTGGAGACGAATGGTTTTGGCGACTTGATGTGTTGTTGGAGTGTGAGCAGGATAATATTTTGTGAAGGGATTCAGGGAAACCGGTTAGCCAGACTTGAGTCCTGGAGGTGGAAGTACAATGCCTGCACTTTGGGATATTGGCTGTTTGGAGTGACATCTAAACTGTCACATCTGTGCACCTCTGGCAAGACAGTGATAGTGTGAATGATGGTGAAAGTTTTTCTTTCTTTTTTTGGGGCCACCCTGCAAGCATGGCCTTTTATACAGTTATTGCTAGTGTGGCCTTTAAAACGAAGGTTACTGCAAGTGTGGCCTTTTATAGTTATTACTAGTGTGGCCTTTTATATGAAGGTTACTGCAAGCGTGACCTTCTATATGAAGGTGACTGAATGCTCACCATCATGCAATTACCATGCAACATCCCAATACGGCCTGTGAGTCAGCTAGCAGTAATATTGCATGTCAACATAATTGCAATCACAAGCCACAAACAACTTGTATAGTGCAACTCAAAATTAATTGTTAAGTTGCAACATCAAGAAATCAATTATTAAGTTGCAACATCAAGAATTCAATATTTTTTAAGATGCAACATCAAGAATTCAATTGTTTTAAAGTTGCAACATCAAGAATTCAATATTTTTTTAAATTGCAACATCAAGAATTCAACTGTTAAGTTGCAACATCAAGAATTCATATTTTTAAATTGCAACATCAAGAAATTCAATATTTTTTAAATTGCAACATCAAGAATTCAATGTTTTTTAATGCAACATCAAGAATTAATTTTTTGCAAATAGAACTTTGCAACATAATATTATTTTCTAGTTTTTTGACACCTAGACAATGAGAGGATTGCACTACTATCATATTTGATCACTATGTTGCACTATCATAATCTGCATCATTATGTTGTTGCCTATCATAATTTGCATCATATGTTCACTGTCTAACATTTGTATCATATGCTGCACTATCTTCATAATTTTTGTCATATGTTACTTGCCTATCATAATTGTATCATATTTCATTGCCTATCATAATTTCCATAATTTACTCACATACTTGACATAATTATCAGGTGTTGTCAATTATAATAATAATGATTCAACTTCATTTGCATGTTAATAAATGCTATTAAATTCTCACGCAATCAAAATTATAATAACGGGCTAAGAACTCAAATGATGCGTATCCTAGACTTGATTTAAGTCACACATCTCCTGTTGGGACGGCCGACTGTTGAAAAAATAAAAAAAATCTATCAGGGCATAAAAGGCAACAATCTACATTTTCTAAAGATGACTACTTTACAGGTGGCCCTGACTTACGATGGTTGACTATGATGGTTGACTTATGATGTAATTTACAATATTTCACCTTACAATATTCACTTTACAATGTGGGACTATAATCTGCATAGGCAGCAAGTCCTAACTTGTATCATTTATTAACTTTTCAATATGGTATTTAGACTCATGAAGTTAGTGTTTATTGACTTATTAGCATTCTATCAATTTTAACTTGCAATATTTTTAAATAAGAATGTAAGAACACTGCAAAGGCTACTGGCCCTACGAGCAGTCCTTGACAAATTCACTTACGATGGGTTCGTCAAACTTAACCCAAGTAGTCGAGGGCCCGTACAAAACATTCGTCACTGAATAAAATGCACAACTAGCAAATGCAAATGAAATTAAAATGCTTGATTAGTGGATCGACCAAAATAAGTTAATTTAATATGTTATTAATATATTTATTAAATAGCCTTTCATCAGATGGTGAATGAAAATGGAAACAAAGCAGAAATCCTGACTTATTGAGGCTTATTACTTATTAACACTGGTATTATGTGCAGTATCTTATGCTTATTGCAACACTGACTTATTCAACAGCACTGCAACACTGACTTATTGCTGACAGCAATTCAACACTGATTATTGCAGACACACTGCAACACTGATTATTGCAGACAGCAATGCAACACTGATTATTGTCAGACTAGCAATGCAACACGACTACTGCAAACATGCTTATTGAGACAGACTGCAACACTGCTTATGCAAGTACTGCACACTTGACTTATTGTAGAAGTATGCAACACTGACTTATGCAGTAACTTCAAATACTATTTATTGCAGCACACTGCAACTACTTCTGCATGACAGCACTGCACAATGACTTACTGCAGAATGCACTGCAAATCCTGACTTATTGAGACAGCATACTGATACACTGACTTATTGCAAACAGCACTGCAACAATGACTTACTGCAGACAGCACTGCAACACTGACTTATTGCAGACAGCACTGCAACACTGACTTACTGCAGACAGCACTGCAACACTGACTTATTGCAGACAGCACTGCAACATTGACTTACTGCAGACAGCACTGCAACACTGACTTATTGCAGACAGCACTGCAACACTTGACTTATTGCAGACAGCACTGCAACACTGACTTACTGCAGACAGCACTGCAACACTGACTTATTGCAGACAGCACTGCAACACTGACTTACTGCAGACAGCACTGCAACACTAACTTACTGCAGACAGCAATGCAACACTGACTTACTGCAGACAGCACTGCAACACTGACTTATTACAGACAGCACTGCAACACTGACTTATTGCAGACAGCACTGCAACACTGACTTATTGCAGACAGCACTGCAACACTGACTTATTGCAGACAGCACTGCAACAATGACTTACTGCAGACAGCACTGCAACACTGACTTATTGCAGACAGCACTGACTTATTGCAGACAGCACTGCAACACTGACTTACTGCAGACAGCAATGCAACACTGACTTACTGCAGACAGCAATGCAACACTGACTTACTGCAGACAGCACTGCAACACTGACTTATTACAGACAGCACTGCAACACTGACTTATTGCAGACAGCACTGCAACACTGACTTACTGCAGACAGCACTGCAACACTGATTTATTGCAGACAGCACTGCAACACTAACTTATTGCAGATAGCTTCAATACACTGCCTAAAGTATACTCTCTCATTTTTTGCTTTAAATCAGAGAAATATACTGAGAAATTCCTTGTAAATTTCCCTGCTAAAGCAGATACATTTACACATTAATTTTGTAAATTACCAATTGTTTAAAAAAAAAAAATGATGCTGAATAAAAATGAACGACAGCCTCTTATCTAGAAATGAATAATTTTGAAAAATTGCGAAGAGGATGACACCAGTATTGCATAATGCTGGTTGTGCTGCAATGAGAAGATACCTATTTGTCTATTACCGTATTTTCCAGCATATAAGGCAAATGCTCAGTATATAAGACATGAGGAAGTGAAGCTGGTTCTTACAATGTCTGGTCTTGTATGAACGAAAGAGGGATTTAGAACGTTAAAAATATTGGAAAGAATAAGACACCTGTGGAGTCCATAAAGAACAACAAGGTACAATATTGTTCCAGCATTGCACCTTCTTGTTCTTTAAGGACCCTGTAGATAAGAGCCATATTCTTCACAACTTTTTTTAATCTTCTTTTAAAACCCTCTTTCATTCTTATACAGCTACTCTTATAAAGACATATAAGGTAATGTTTGCAAACAGTTGTAACATGTTACTAAACAACTGCTACAGTGTAACAAAAAATCTACCCTTGACCCTCACCTTGAACATTTAAGGCACAGGCTGATTTTTTAAAGACCTATTTCGGGGGGAAAAAAAAACATGCCTTATATGCCAGAAAATATGGCAGTTTTGAAAAAAAAAAAGAAAAAACAGAAATGGTAATTATGAGATGGATAATGAGGGCTATAAGGGAACAAGCCCATAATAGTGTTTACTTGCTCGTGCGTTTGTCCTTGCCGAGTTTCAGCGAGGATTTGCGATTTAACCTGAAACACAATAGGTGGATAAAATTCCAATAATCGCTATCTGAAGTACAGTAAGTCCTCAATTTACAAATACATTGAGACTCTTCTGTATTGTGTATATCAATATTGTGTATAATATTATTATACACAATTCTGAAGGTCTCCAGTGTGTTTTTAAGTTGAAGACTTACTATATTATGAATATTATACACAATACAGACAGTCCCCAATGTGTGTGTAAGTTGAAGACTTACTATATTATGAATATTATACACAATACAGACAGTCCCCAATGTGTGTGTAAGTTGAAGACTTAATGTACAAGCTATTAATGTTTACTCATCATTTGTAAAAAAAAAATAGCCAATAAGCAAGGCTTAAAAAGTATAGCGAATAAGCATCACTCCTATTGTGTTTATGTTACATTATTTACCTCTTGCGATCATTGTACTTGTCACGATAGTTGCCACCCTTCTTCTTGTTCTGTTTGGTGTATTCGTCCTGGAACTCATTGGCGTCTTTATCAGCCTCCGCAGCTTCTCTCTCCAGGTCTGACCAGTCCTTCCCAGACTCCTCACTGCTTCCAAGATCTGTCATCATTGTGATTTTTGAGAATACTCAACACATCACTTGTTAATTGGTATTCATTCTCAAGCAGATATCAAAAGGAAACTCCACATGAAACAGAAAGGCACAATACCATGACAGGAACAATACACAAATAACCTGCATGTGGGAGAGACCATTTACAGAGTCACACTGTGTGACTTTGTAAATAGTCCAAGTTGAACCAAAACATCATTGTAACTAAAAAAAAAATACCACGGGCGGGACTGAACCCGCGGTCAGTGTCTCAAAACTCCAGACCGTCGCGTTAGCCACTGGACTCTCTGACCGCGGGTTCAATCCCGCCCGTGGTATGGTTTGTTTGCAATCGTGTCATTATGATTTCGTGAATCATCGTAACTCCTCTCTCATGTGCGGGTTATTTATGAAATTCAACATACAAATTTACTAAAAGAAGATGTTTGTAATATCTACAGGTAAAAAAATTGTACCAAGGAATAAAATCACAATACTGTGGCTGGAAGAAGTCAGCAAAACCCTGCACTTACAACCTTAATTGATTTTCACTCAAGGATTTATCAAAGGAAATTCCATATACATTTTTACTAACAGATGATGGTTGTAATGTCTACATATAATAAAATACAGTAGTCCCCCCTGTATTTACAGGGATACATTCCAAGACCTACCAGGGATACCTGAAACTGTGGATAGTAGCAGGCCATATATAAGTCATTTTTCACTTACATACATACTTATGCTAAAGCTTAATTGATAAATTATGCAAAATATGTCTAGAATTAGCACTTTTGAACAAATGTCACCATCACTACTAAAATTGTGGGTTATTTTTGGGCCACAGTAAACAGTGGATAACTGAAACTGCAGATACCGAATCCATGTATACCAGGGTCCCACTGTACTCCCAAGGAATAAGTCACAACAGTGGCTGCAACAAGTCGCCAAAACCCTGCACTTTGAACAACTTTAACTGATATTCAATGGAAATTCCATATACAAAATGTTCTGCATGCTAGTAGTTTTATTTTATACTTAACAATATTTTATCGCATGTGAACTACATTATTCTTCCTCCATAAGCCATGCATGTCGTAAGCGGCGACTAAAATGCCAGGAGCAAGGGGCCAGTAACCCCTTCTACTGTATATATTACTAAATGCTGGCAGCAAGGTGCTAGTAATACCTTCTCCTGTATACATATACAGTGGACCCCCGGTTAACGATATTTTTTCACTCCAGAAGTATGTTCAGGTGCCAGTACTGACCGAATTTGTTCCCATAAGGAATATTGTGAAGTAGATTAGTCCATTTCAGACCCCCAAACATACACGTACAAACGCACTTACATAAATACACTTACATAACTGGTCACATTTGGAGGTGATTGTTATGCGGGGGTCCACTGTACTGCTAAATTTAAAAAGAAAACTTTCATTTTTCCTTTTTAGGCCACCCTTCCTTGGTGGGATATGACCGGTTCATTGAGAAAAAAAAAAAATTGTATACTGTAGGCAGAAAGAAATAGATATTTGTTTGTTTACTAATAGAATATGGCTGAAATGTTTACATACAGTTAAATATGCCCAATGAATAATCACAATACTGTGCCTGGAACAAGTTACTGACATCCTAATGATGACATTTCAGTCCATCCTGAACTGTGGGTGGGTGTGAGTTGGACCTGACTAGCTTGTGCTTCTAGGTCTGATGCCATGCTCCTTCCTTAAGTGGAAGTGACCTGACTATGTGAGTCATTGGGGTAATCCAGGGAAGGGGGGGGGGAACATGGACCTGCTCTGCATGGGTCAGTAGGTCTGTTGCAGTGTTCCTTCTTTCTTATGTTCTTATGTTCTCACTGTCAAGTCACACCTGTTATGACCTGTCCAGGAGTGACAAGGCCCTTACACTCCTCTTCTGCTCTATGGTATCACTTGTGTTTTGTACCATTTTCAGTTATTTCTTTAATTCTCCTACTTTAGAGAAGTCAAAATCTCTCCTCATTGACCACATTGTTTCTGTGATTGTTTTTCATTATCAGAAAATCCACAAACCGAATTTTTTGAGGAAAAAAAAAAAGGGCAAACTGCAAAAAAATCATGACTTATGAAACTGCGATAACATGACTGTAAACAAGCCACGGAATGGGTAGAAATCGAACCCATGACTTATGCACTGGCCCAGAGTTTTAGGGTTCACTCACTGTGGGTTCAATTCCCATCCGTTCCATGGTTTGTTTGCAAAGAATCCTTTCTGAATAAGGGTTGTTTAATGAACATGAAGCCAAAGTTGGAATAAACAAAAGTATTACATCTGCATTTAAAAATTACTTGTACGAGATGGGAAAAGGACAAAAGATTAATAGAAAATGGCTCCCAGAAAAGGCACAATACCATGACTGGAACAATACACAAATAACCTGCACACAGGAGAGAGAGGAGCTTGCGATGACGTTTTGGTCTGACGTACAGGTTACAAAGGCACAATACCCTGACTGTAGTTCAGTGTTCTTCCCCTGGGGTTTTGGTCCCACCTCTTGTGGGCCAGTAAGTCTCCTGCTGTGCTCCTTTTTTCTTCTCCTTAGACTGACCCCACTTCTACTACTATGACTACCATTCCATTTCTACTACTACTACCATTAAGATTCTTTATTTCTGTATGATACAAAGTTTGTAAATAACAAAAAAAGGCACAATACCGTGACTGGAACGATACACAAATAACCCGCACATAGAAGAGAGAAGTTTGTATATATGTGAATGACATTTAGATGTACATACAGGAAGCCCCTTTATATGCAGAGCATTTCAGGCTAACTTAAGACTAACTTAAGATTAATAAGTCAATGACTAATTGATTACTGAACATATTTAAGACTTCATTCTCATACTTCAGCTTCATAATGTTCCAGATAATGGAATCGAACTCTTCTCCAGGCTGAGGGACTGACCACCCCAAATACTTTTTCTCCAAGGTTGATGGACTGATTACATCATCTTTTTTTCATTACTATTGTCACTTTGTATTTGACTGAAGAAGCCTACTGTGAAGGCAAAATGTTTCATCAATAAAGATACCCAACTGTTGCACGTGTCTCTTAATCCTCAACTAATTGATTACTATTGCCTCCCTTCACTTCCCTTTCTCTCTTGAGCGATTAAACTACTCTCTTTCTACTACCACTATTTTGAGCCACTAAACTACTCTCTTTCTACTACCACTATTTTGAGCCACTAAACTACTCTCTTTCTACTACCACTATTTTGAGCCACTAAACTACTCTCTTTCTACTACCACTATTTTGAGCCACTAAACTACTCTCTTTCTACTACCACTATTTTGAGCTACTAAACTACTCTCTTTCTACTACCACTATTTTGAGCCACTAAACTACTCTCTTTCTACTACCACTATTTGAGCCACTAAACTACTCTCTTTCTACTACCACTATTTTGAGCCACTAAACTACTCTCTTTCTACTACCACTATTTGAGCCACTAAACTACTCTCTTTCTACTACCACTATTTTGAGCCACTAAACTACTCTCTTTCTACTACCACTATTTTGAGCCACTAAACTACTCTCTTTCTACTACCACTATTTTGAGCCACTAAACTACTCTCTTTCTACTACCACTATTTTGAGCCTAAATACTCTCTTTCTACTACCATATTTTGAGCCACTAAATCTACTCTTTTTTACTACCACTTTTGAGCCACTAAACTACTCTCTTCTACTACCACTATTTTGAGCCACTAAACTACTCTCTTTCTACTACCACTATTTTGAGCCACTACTCTCTTTCTACTACCACTATTTTGAGCCACTAAACTACTCTTTCTACTACCACTATTACTCATACTACTTCTACTATCACTACCACTGCTTCCTCTCTTGTTCCCATTCCTGTCTCACTTGCATATACATATACCTTTGATGAGTTTCAAGTCTCGCACTACTCTCGGAGCCTGACCATGGACCAGGCGGGTGTGGTGCTAGCCTGGTCAACCAGGCTGTTGCTGCTGGAGGCCCACTGCCCCACATTTCCATCACAGCCTAGTTGATCTGGCACCTGGTGAAGATACTTGTCCAATTTCCTCTTGAAGATTTCTACATTGTTCCAGCAGTTTGTGATATCTTCTGGTATATATTGTACTCCAGTTATAGGAGAGACAAGCTTATGACGTTTCTTGATCAGGTCCTGATCAACCAGGCTGTTACTGTTGGCCGCACACAAGTGAACATACACACCACAGCCTGGATGGTCAGGTACTGACTTTATATGCAAGTTATTTGCATATTGACTCCCAGAAAGAACAAAAAAATATTTCACAAGGTGGTAACAATAACAATGAATTTAATGGCTTGTGAGAGGGGAAAGAGGAGAATTGATAATCATAAACAAGGTAGTAAAAGGATACAAGAAACTATGGTAGCGACTCATGAAATTGTAATGACACGTTTGTAAACAAAGCATACAATGGGAGGGGATAGAGCCCGCGATCAGTCTTAAAACTCCACACACATCGGTCTGGAGTTTTATGACTCTGATCGTGGGTTCTATCCCCGCCCGTGGTATGGTTTAACTATGGTAGTGTCCTGGTATCTGCGGGTGATACCTGCCAAGAACTATGCGGATGCCAGAAACCTTGGATAGTAATAAACCCTATACGTATACTGTATAAGTAATTTTTGGTTTATATACAATAGTCTAATTGATAAAATACACACAATAAGTGGAGAATTAACACTTTTTTCAGTGATGGGAAGAACTTCACAACTTCTCTTAGACTTTGAACAACTGTCACCATCACTGCTTATGTGCTTTGTCCCCATTATTATTAAGAAAAATTAAGGCATGTTTTCAAGCCACTGTAAATCGCCAATAACTGAAACCATGGAAACCAGACCTGTGGATACAGCGGCTCTACTAGAGCAGCCTGGACCATGGCCGGGCTCCAAGAGTAGCAAGACTCTCAAAACTCATCGAAGGTATATCAAAGGTACTGTAGCTTGCTAGCACCAACAAGGGGAACAAGAAGTCACAACTCTAAACTGACAGGAAGAATAAATTACAAAGAAAAAAAAAACAATACCAGAATATTTTTCTTCGTAGTGGTAGAATACCTCTAGGGATCCAAGAAAAGATAGTAATTTCTTAGCTATGGGGTCCAAGATAGCATTTTCTTAGCTAAGGGATCCAAGATAGTAATTTCTTAGCTATGGGGTCCAAGATAGCATTTTCTTAGCTAAGGGATCCAAGATAGCATTTTCTTAGCTAAGGGATCCAAGATAGCAATTTCTTAGCTATAGGGTCCAAGATAGTAATTTCTTAGCTAAGGGATCCAAGATAGCAATTTCTTAGCTATGGGGTCCAAGATAGCAATTTCTTAGCTAAGGGATCCAAGATAGCAATTTCTTAGCTAAGGGATCCAAGATAGCATGTTCTTAGCTAAGGGATCCAAGATAGCAATTTCTTAGCTAAGGGATCCAAGATAGCAATTTCTTAGCTAAGGGATCCAAGATAGCAATTTCTTAGCTAAGGGATCATAAGATAGCATTTCTTAGCTAAGGGATCCAAGATAGCAATTTCTTAGCTAAGGGATCCAAAAGCAATTTCTTAGCTAAGGGATCCAAGATAGCAATTTCTTAGCTAAGGGATCCAAGATAGCAATTTCTTAGCTAAGGGATCCAAGATAGCAATTTCTTAGCTAAGGGATCCAAGATAGCAATTTCTTAGCTAGGAATCCAAGAAAAGACAGTATTTTATGTTTAAAAGTAATGCAAGAACTGGAAATTAAAAAAATGCACGAATAATTAAATAAAGCGAGACACAACAAGCACAGTCTTGCTGCTGTGACTATACTTAAACACGCTACTCTACAGGGGATCCTCGCTTTACATTGGTTTACAATGTTTTGGCTTTACACTGGTTTGGTTTACGATATTTTGGCTTTACGATGGTCCAGTTTACAATATTATGGCTTTATGATGGTCTGGTTTAGGATATTTTGGATCTACAATGGTGCGATAACGGCCAAACGCTCTGAGAATTTTGAAAAGATTTTAGCACTTAATGATTTTTTAATGCTGGTATTTACAGTAATTATTTATTTATTCAGTTACAACAGCCACATATTTACTTATTTAGCAAATTACATCCCACTTACAATATTTTTGACTTATGGTGGATTTGTTGAAACATAGGAGGGGTCCGGCATATACAGCATGGCCCCGCATATACCGCAGGACCCCGCATATATATAACAGGGCCCCACATATACAGTAGGGCCCCGCATATACTGCAGGACCCCGCATATATATAACAGGGCCCCGCATATACAGTAGGGCCCTGCATATACCGCAGGACCCCGCATATATATAACAGGGCCCCACATATACAGTAGGGCCCCGCATATACCGCAGGACCCCGAATATATATAACAGGGCCCCACATATACAGTGACTATTTTTGGTGTTCCATGTTTTCATTGGCTTTCATGCGAGTCATTGTTCCACCCGCTGGTGATAATCACCGGCAAGTGGAACACTGCACAATGGCTCAATTTAAGCCCAACAAAAATGGAACACTGATAAGAAGATGCTGTGTATAAGAACATAAGAAAGGAAAAACACTACAGCAGGCCTGTTGGCCCATACTAGGCAGGTCCTTCACAGATCCATCCCACTAATAGAATATTTGCCTTCATAAGAACATAAGATCATAAGAAATAAGGAACACTGCAACAGGTCTACTGGTCTTTGTGAGGCAGCGCATCATCTTATACAGCATCTGTTGTATGTGTCAGGCTCTGCTGTATATGTGGGGCCACGTTGTATATGCGGAGCCCTATTGAAAATTCACACATACATGAGCTATTAAATCTCTGCACCAAATTCACCTTAAACCAGCAAATATTAGAGCCTACAAGACTAGAAAATATGCTGGACCTCATCTTCATTAACAATGACGATCTGATACGTAATATAACCGTATTGAAGACAATACACTCAGATCACAACACAATAGAGGTACAGACATGTATGCACAGGGATCCTGACCAGCAAAATGTGATCAGTCATGAGGGTGTCTTCACAAAATTCAATTTCAATAACAAAAACATACAATGGGAACAAGTTAACTATGTCCTAAATGAAACAAGCTGGGAAGATACCCTAAACAACACAGATCTGAACCTCTGCCTAGAAAAAATAAACTCTGTGGTTCTTGAAATCTGCTCAAGGCACATTCCATTAAGAAAAAGAAAGAGAAGATGTAAACTAGAGAGAGACGTTCCCTATACAGACGAAGGCGAAGAGTCACAGAGCTGCTGAGAGGAGCCAATATATGTGAAATACGAAGGGAGGCACTAGTCAACAAAATTGCAAATATCAAACTTAAGCTGAAGGGATCTTACAGGAGACTAGAATCGCAGGAAGAACTAAAATCCATAAAGGAAATTAAAAAAAAAAAAAAACTTCTCTTATGCAAAATCTAAGGGAAAAACAACATCCAGTATTGGGCTGCTGCTTAGGTGAGATAGGACACACACAGATGACAGCCAAGAAATGAGTGAGATACTAAAGTCCCAATATGGCTCAGTGTTCAGTGAGCCACTGCCCAGACTAAGAGTCGACGATCCAAATGAATTCTTTATGAACGAAACCCAAAATTTGGTCATCTCAAAAATCTTGGATATTATCCTAACACCACAAGATTTTAAAAAGGCAATAAATGACATGCCCATACAGTCTGTCCCACACCCAGACTCATGGAACTCTGTGTTCATCAAGAACTGCAAGAAGCCCCTGTCGCATGCCTTCAGCATTCTATGGAGAGGGAGCATGAACACAGTGGTCATCCCACTCACTAAAAACAATAGACATAGCCTCACTCTACAAAGGTGGCAGTAAAGCAATTGCAAAAAACTACAGCCCAATAGCATTAACATCCCATATCATAAAAATCTTTGAAAGGGTTCCAAGAAGCAAGATAGCCAACCACCTAGATTCCCATCAATTATACAACCCAGAGCAACACAGGTTTAGAGCTGGTTGCTCCTACCTGTCCCAGCTACTGGACCACTATGACAAGGTCTTGGATGATGTAAAGGATAAACAAAATACAGATGTAGTATACACAGACTTTGAAAAAGCTTTTGACAAGTGTGACCATGGTGTAATAGCGCACACAATGCGTGATAAAGGAATAACAGGAAAAGTTGGTAGATGGATCTATAGCTTCCTGACAAACAGAACACAAAGAGTAATAGTATACAGAGAAAAGTCTGAAGCAGCTACGGCGAAAAGCTCTGCAACACAAGGCACAGCACTCGCTCGCATTCTGTTCCTCATCCTCATATCTGACAGACAGAGATGTAAGCCATAGCGCTGTGTCTTCCTTTGCGAATGACACCTGGACTGCCATGACAGTGACCTCCATCGAAGACACCGCAAGAGTCCAAGCGGACATATACCAAATCTTCAAATGGGCCACTCAAAACAATATGAAGTTCAATGAAGAAAAATTTCAACTACTCAGATATGGAAAACTTGAGGAAATTAAAACTGTATCAGGGTATACGATAAATTCTAATCATACAATTGAGTGAAAAAGTAATGTGAAGGACCTGAGAGTGGTAATGTCAGAGGATCTCGCCTTCAAAGACCACAACAATGTATCTACTGCATATGCTAGGAAAATGAAAGGATGGATAATGATAATGAGAACTTTCAAAACTAGGAATGCCAAGCCCATAATGATTCTCTTCAAATTGCTTGTTCTCTCTAGGTTGGAATACTGCTGTACACTAACTGCCCCCTTCAAGGCAGGCAAAACTGCTAATCTGGAGAGTGTGCAAAGAACTTTCATGGCACACACAAGTATGATAAGGGAACCATACCCCCGGCCGGGATTGAACCCGCGGTCATAGAGTCTCAAAACTCCAGCCCGTCGCGTCATTACGATTTCTTAAGTTATGATAAGGGACCTGAATTACTGGGAATGGTTGAAGGCCCTTGATTTGTACTCCCTGGAATACAGGAGAAAGAGATACATGATAATATACACTTGGAAAATCCTAGAGAGACTAGTACCAAACTTGCACACAAAAATCACTCCCTATGAAAGTAAAAGACTCAGCAGGAGATGCAACATTCCTCCAATAAAAAGCAGGGGTGCTACAAGTACAGTGAGAGACAACACATCGAGTGTCTGAGGCCCAAGACTGTTCAACTGCCTCCCAGGATACATAAGGGGGATTACCAATAGACCCCTGACTGTCTTCAGGAAGGCACTGGAGAGGCACTTAAAGTCAGCACCTGACCAGCAGGGCTGTGGCTCGTATGTCAGCTTGCGTGCAGCCAGCAGTAACAGCCTGGTTGATCAGACCCTGATCCACCACGAGGCCTAGTCTCAGGCCGAGCCGAGGGGGAGTTGACCCCCGAAACCCTCTCCAGGTAAACTTACATGATGAGGTATTAGATGTGTATCACATGGCTATCTTTATTTGAAGACAGTCTGGCATTCAGTGTCAGTAGTTATTTGCTTCTTTATCTTAGGTTGACCCTAAAAAGAAACACTTTCACCAGCATATCATATTCAACTCAGGATATTTTCAACTTACAATGGGTTCGTTGGAATGTAAACCTATAGTAAGTCAGAGACCACCTGTACATTAAATACTCAACTTGCAAACACATTGGGGACCTTCTGAATTGTGTATAATGATGATGATATGCACAATAATGATATAATAATGATATACACAATACAGAAGATTCTCAACATGTTTGCAGGTTAAGTACTTACTGTAGCAAGACACACCTGTCATCCCATGTGTCTTCAACAAAATCTCCATGACAATTTACCTTCGCTATATTCTGAATCAGATGCTTCCGAGTCTCCTTCGGAGTAGTCCTCGCTCTCTTCCTCAGACCCCAGCTCCTCGTCTGTGGGGGCATACGCTCCGTCGTCCTCCGAATCTTCGTTCTCCTCCTCTTCATTTTCCGCATCCGAGTCGGGGTCCAGGAATGACCATCCTCCCTAAAAAAAAAATGTTTTTTAAACACGGCCGTCTCCTACTGAGGCAGAGTGACTCAAAAAACAAGAAACGCTATCATAAAGTTTTTCTCCTTTTCTTCATTTAGTAATTTATACAGAAGAAGGCATTACTACCATCTTGCTGCCAGCATTTAGTAATTTATACAGCAGATGTTACTAGCCCCTCACTTCTGGCATTTTAGTTGCCTCTTATCTACTACACCAGTCATTAGGACTGGTTGGTTAGTTAATAGGGTTTAAAGTCTACTACAGGAGAGTCATTAGGATTGGTCGGTTGGTTAATGGGATTTAATGTCTACTACACGAGGGTCATTAAGATTGGTCTGTGGGTTAATGGGGTTTAAAGCCTATCTACTACACCAGAGCCATTAGGACTGGTTGGTTGGTTAATGGGATTTAAAGTCTACTACAGGAGAGTCATTAGGATTGGTCAGCTGGTTAATGGGATTTAATGTCTACTTCACGAGGGTCATTAAGATTGGTCGGTGGGTTAATGGGGTTTAATGTCTACTACATAAGGGTTATTAAGATTGGTCAGTTGGTTAGTGGGGTTTAAAGCCTATCTACTACACCAGAGCCATTAGGACTGGTTGGTTGGTTAATGGGGTTTAAAGTCTACTACATGAGGGTCATTAAGACTGGTCAGTTGGTCTAATGGGATTTAATGTCTACCACACGAGGGTCATTAAGACAGGTTGGTTGGTTAATGGGGTTTAAAGTCTATCTACTACACCAGGGTCATCAGTCAAGAATACCTTAATAACTAAAATAGTGATTAATGTACACTATAAGAGTACATACACTGAGGTATACACCTCTCAGTGTACATACACTGATATATATACATCTTTCAGTGTACATACACTGAGATATACACCTCTCAGTGTACATACACTAATATATACACCTCTCAGTGTACATACACTAATATATACACCTCTCAGTGTACATACACTAATATATACACCTCTCAGTATACATACACTGAGGTATACACCTCTCAGTGTACATACACTGAGAAACATACAAGTGTATACACCCTAATCATCTGAAAGTATATTGTTTATTAGTATATCATACAACTATACAAGGTAGTATAACAACAACAAACATTCAAAATTTAAACTAAATACAAACCATTAGAATATTTAGTGAATTTTTGGGTGTCAACACACGGTTAATTTTTTTTCTTTCAACAAACCGGCCGTATCCCACCGAGGCGGGGCAGCCCAAAAAGAAAAATGAAAGCTTCTCCTTTCAAATTTAGTAATACAGTGGACCCCCGCTTAACGATCACCTCCCAATGTGACCAATTATGTAAGTGTATTTATGTAAGTGCATTTATACGTGTATGTTTGGGGGTCTGAAATGGACTAATCTACTTCACAATATTCCTTATGGGAACAAATTCGGTCAGTACTGGCACCTGAACATACTTCTGGAATGAAAAAATATTGTTAACCGGGGGTCCACTGTATATACAGAAGGGGTTACTAGCCCCTTGCTCCCGGCATTTTAGTCGCCTCTTACGACACGAATGGCTTACGGAGGAAGAATTCTGTTCCACCTCCCCATGGAGATGGTTAATTTATTAATACAAAATATGGGGGGGGGAGGGTGAGGAGACAGAGGAGGAGGAGACAGAGGATAAAGATGATGAAGACAAAGAAGAAGAAGACTGAAGTTAAAGCAAGAATCACTCCCCACAAAAAATTGCAGTCTGGAAAAAAAAAATCTTATTTACCTGGTCAAAAAAGCCATCAGGGTCATCAATGATCGTCTTCATAACCTTGGCCCAGTTGAGTGACTGCACGCCCTCGGAGTAACGGATGTCACATGAACTGCAAAAACACGAATTATTAGTCACGAGGCACAAAATTGTAATGCAAGTGGAAACAAATCACAACAGGCAGGCGAGTTCTGAGTAAGTGGTTAGCGGGGACTTGAGTCCTGAGGTGGGAAGTACAGTGCCTGTACAGTGGTACCTCAGCATATGTCCGCTTTGGAATAAGTCCAATTTGGTATACGTCCTGTTAGGATGTGAAATTTTTGCTTGGTGTACAATGTTTTTTTGGAAATACGACTTGTGTGCTAGAACTTGTATGGGTCAAAATGATTGAACACTGTGCACTAACCTTCACATTTCCGAAACATCCTGAGAAGGCAGAAGCAAAGTTCTTTGGACAGATTTTTAGTAAAAGTCAAACCTGGTGAGCTTTAACCAGGACCAAATAGGGATAAGAGACAGAAAAGAGAAGGGGACTCTCCTTCCAAACAATAACATTTCCTCCTCCTCCCTTCTCAGTACTATCCTAGTAGGCACTCGGCTCTTTTTCACCAAGTAGAGTGAGGTTAAATTTGTATTTCTTCTTTCTTTCAACAAACCGGCCGTATCCCACCAAGGCAGGGTGGCCCAAAAAGAAAAAGAAAAGTTTCTCTTTTCAAATTCAGTAATTTATACAGGAGAAGGGGTTACTAGCCCCTTGCTCCTGGCATTTTGTCACTCTTACAACACGCATAGCTTACGGAGGAAGAATTCTGTTCCACTTCCCCATGGAGATAAGAGGAAATAAACAAGAACTAGTAAGAAATAGAATAAAACCCAGAGGGGTGTGTATATATGCTTGTACATGTATGTGTAGAGTGACCTAAGTGTAAGTATAAGTAGCAAGACGTACCTGAAACCTTGCATGTTTATAGACAGAAAAAAGACACCAGCAATCCTACCATCATGTAAAACAATTACAAGTTTTCGTTTTACACTCGCTTGGGAGGACGGTAGTACCTCCCTGGGTGGTTGCTGTCCACCAACCTACTACCACAGGACGGTAGTACCTCCCTGGGTGGTTGCTGTCTACCTACCTACTACCTAGATAAATTTGTATTTTTTTTTTTTTTCAACAAGTCGGCCGTCTCCCACCGAGGCAGGGTGACCCAAAAAAAAAAAGAAAATCCCCAAAAAAAAAATACTTTCATCATTCAACACTTTCACCACACTCACACATTATCACTGCTTTTTGCAGAGGTGCTCAGGGAAAACAACAGTTTTAGAAGCATATACGTATAGAGATTTCAAACAATCCCTCCAAACTGCCAATCCCAAACCCTCCTTTAAAAGTGCAGGCATTGTACTTCCCATTTCCAGGACTCAAGTCCGACTATATGAAAATAACCGGTTTCCCTGAATCCCTTCACTAAATATTACCCTGCTCACACTCCAACAGATCGTCAGGTCCCAAGTATCATTCGTCTCCATTCACTCCTATCTAACACAGCTCATGCACGCTTGCTGGAAGTCCCAAGCACCTCACCCACAAAACCTCCTTTACCCCCTCTTTCCAACCCTTTCGAGGACGACCCCTACCCCTCTTTCCTTCCCCTATAGATTTATATGCTTTCCATGTCATTCTACTTTGATCCATTCTCTCTAAATGACCAAACCACCTCAACAACCCCTCTTCTGCCCTCTGACTAATGCTTTTATTAACTCCACACCTTCTCCTAATTTCCACACTCCGAATTTTCTGCATAATATTTACACCACACATTGCCCTTAGACAGGACATCTCCACTGCCTCCAACCGTCTCCTCGCTGCTGCATTTACCACCCAAGCTTCACATCCATATAAGAGTGTTGGTACTACTATACTTTCATACATTCCCTTCTTTGCCTCCATTGATAACGTTTTTTGACTCCACATATACCTCAACGCACCACTCACCTTTTTTCCCTCATCAATTCTATGATTAACCTCATCCTTCATAAATCCATCCGCCGACACGTCAACTCCCAAGTATCTGAAAACATTCACTTCTTCCATACTCCTCTTCCCCAATTTGATACCCAATTTTTCTTTATCTAAATCATTTGATACCCTCATCACCTTACTCTTTTCTATGTTCACTTTCAACTTTCTACCTTTACACACATTCCCAAACTCATCACACTAACCTTTGTAATTTTTCTTTAGAATCTCCCATAAGCACAGTATCATCAGCAAAAAGTAACTGTGTCAGTTCCCATTTTGAATTTGATTCCCCATAATTTAATCCCACCCCTCTCCCGAACACCCTAGCATTTACTTCTTTTACAACCCCATCTATAAATATATTAAACAACCATGGTGACATTACACATCCCTGTCTAAGACCTACTTTTACCGGGAAGTATTCTCCCTCTCTTCTACACACCCTAACCCGAGCCTCACTATCCTCATAAAAGCTCTTTACAGCATTTCGTAACTTACCACCTATTCCATATACTTGCAACATCTGCCACATTGCTCCTCTATCCACTCTATCATATGCCTTTTCTAAATCCATAAATGCAATAAAAACTTCCCTACCTTTATCTAAATACTGTTCACATATATGCTTCAATGTAAACACTTGATCTACACATCCCCTACCCACTCTGAAGCCTCCTGCTCGTCCGCAATTCTACATTCTGTCTTACCTCTAATTCTTTCAATTATAACCCTACCGTATACTTTTCCTGGTATACTCAGTTAAACTTATTCCTCTATAATTTTTACAATCTCTTTTGTCCCCTTTCCCTTTATATAAAGGGACTATACATGCTCTCCGCCAATCCCTAGGTACCTTCCCCTCTTTCATACATTTATTAAACAAAAGTACCAACCACTCCAACACTATATCCCCCCCTGCTTTTAACATTTCTGTCATGATCCCATCAGTTCCAGCTGCTTTACCCCCTTTCATTCTACGTAATGCCTCACGTACCTCCACCACACTTACATTCTGCTCTTCTTCACTCCTAAAAGATGGTATACCTCCCTGGCCAGTGCATGAAATTACCGCCTCCCTTTCTTCCTTAACATTTAAAAGTTCCTCAAAATATTCTCGCCATATACCTAATACCTCCCTCTCCCCATCTACTAACTCCCCTACTCTGTTTTTAACTGACAAATCCATACTTTCCCTAGGCTTTCTTAACTTGTTTAACTCACTCCAAAATTTTT